TGAAAGTCACAAAGAGAAAAGTAACACCAGCATGAATTTGACAATCTCAATGCTTTACACATCAACACACCACTTCAGGCTCATTACTCACAAAGGTCGTTTTCTTTTCTTCACATTGAAAGCACAAAACATCCTGTCTTAATGAGGCATTTTACTGTTTTCATTTAAAGAGACAATTCCTCTCGTTTTCCAGAGATTATTAAATCATCTCTGAACAGTGGCGTCTGTTCTCGGCTCATTTAATCCTACCATTGGTTAGAGCCGGGTATCGTTTGCCGATACAACCTGACATTTTGGAACAGATACCAAAGCCCTTTTTATTATTATTCTTTGAGGAATATAAAAAGATCTAAAGAGCCAGCGAAGTTCTGAAACATTCTTGTTAGTTTGTGTGCACACAAGACACAAACTTTAACATTTTGTTAAGTTATTGTCTTAGTGATGCAGTTATTATCTATTGTTTCGGGGCACATATTGATATGTTGGGCGCCAAAGTTATAATCGTGGGCCCAGATAATTTAAGAAATTTACACAAATTCTTGTGTTAAGAAATATATTATACTTATGGGCTTCAGGCGGCTCCGTAGAATGACTTGTTCTGGAAAACAGTGAAATAATTAAACCATACTCCCTTCAGTTTTTTGCTCATTTAAGAGGAGTCGGGTTTTTTTACATAACATTATTATTATTATTCAGAACAGAACCAGTGAAGATGCCAATAGTCCAGTTCCCCTTGGACCAGTGCATGAATATGTCTTTTTGGCTCCCTGCTGCCTCCATACTTCCTCAGCATCTGTCCACACCTGTCGGACAGCTGAGGACCTACCTGTGGTACAATCACTACACATCCAGGTGTGTTTTCATGCCGACGGCGCTCATAAGCATCACACATACACACACGAACATTTTTGGGGAGACGTTCTCATTCTCTAAACTGCACTTTACAGGACGTTTATTTTTTTATCTTGACTTCTGGTACAGAACTTCAATTTTGTCGTGCAGCTGGAGGAAAGTTGTGAACGGAGTCCGAAACTGATGACTGACTTGGGGAAGAGGAGTTTTTATAGTCTGGTTGGTGTCGAGGAACTTTTTTTTTTTTTTTTCTTTGGTAAATTGTTTCCTCAAACAAATAAATTGAGCTCACTATGCTTATTTTTTATTTTGCTATGCTTATATTTGTCCTTAATTTAGTGACTCAAACCTTCAGTTTTACCTCATTGCTCTCTTGGATTAATGATTTGTACAGTTTTGTTTAAAGGCTAAATCACTCTGTGTTCTCCTCTGAGCGGAGTTGTTTCTTCAAAAAATAGTTTTTTGAACTGGGAAAACATCTGAAGTATCACAAACGTAGTGAAACAATCTGTCGTCCTGATGTGTGATACGGGATGTCAAAGGTGACAATATTAAGACAAAATCCATTTAATTCAGACAAAGATCAAATGAAACTACTGAATCTAAAAGCACTCAAAGTGACACAATTAGGAATTTTAGGGAATTAATTAAGTAATCTGAGTACTTGATTTAATATTTTAAGGGAACCAAGAAAAATCCCAGCTTTGAGGGTATAAATCACTAAACTGAAGGAGTGAAATCACTGATTATTGATATGTTGGGCTGGGTGTCGCGTTACGGATCTTTGTACCAAAATGTTTTTTCTAAACCTTACTTTAAGAAATAGAAACACTTATTTGGAGCCAACTTTCAAGCCGCCAAAATGAGAACTTTGTCCAGATAAATAAAGTTTAAATTCTGCCATTTTTATATTTATATTGTTAATTAGGGGCATTTTATGTTTTGACTTGACGGCTGACAGTAGAGGGATGACGTGATGTTTACTGGACGCCACGAAAACGTGCAAATTTACATTTTAATCGTGAGAAAAGAAAATTCAACAAGATTCTCAAACTGACTGATTAATGTTAACTTTTACTACCTCAGTGCTGTGGACAGAATTCGGTGCAAATAAGTGTTTCGCTTCGATACCCGGCCTTTTCGAAACTCCTGTCTTCTTTTAGGGCTTCACAGATTTGACAGAAAGGTACAGTAAAAGATAAATATGTAATGACGACACCTGGCTGAGTGAAACGAGACAAAATCAAGACGCCTCAGCGTGTCGTTAAAACGTGATTTGACTTGAAAATGGACATTTTGTACAGATTGAGACGAACATGGTTGAAAGCAAAGAAAGTAGAAATGTAAAAAGATTAAAAAAAGGTTGTCAATTTTTTTTTTTCTTTTCAAAGCACTTTTGTCTCCCGGTTTTATCTGAGGTTTCGACAGGAAAACAGAGATTTGTTTTTTTGTTTTGTTTTTTGAAACGCTATCCTTCGTCATTTTGCTCTCATGGAACTTTGCGAGGACGTTTTGTGGAGGCGACCAACATTTGGTGCGTCGTGTTTCGTTTAATTTCCACTAAAAGTCTAAGTTTTTAAACGATGACTGCTTCACCTGTAAGCCAGAGATTCAGATGGACCTGTACATCTCATCCAGCTACCACTATAAGCTGTTGTAACTCATGAAATGCTGATTTTCTTTCCCTTTTTGTTAAATATAAAGTGAGTGAACTTAAAATGAGCGTCTGTGTGCTGATTGATTTTTTTTTTGGGGGGGGGGGGGTTGGATTAACGCCGCTGACACTTTTTTAATCATTCACAATATAATTTTGCAAAGAGGAAATTTCTTAACCTGGTGTTGTCTTAAGGGTCAAAATTGACCTGCCCCTTTTGTTTAACAGCAGAGGGGGGAAAACTAAATAATATTTGTTTCCAACTTTGAAAATTTGATGAGTGAATTAAAAAAAATTGCCTTTGTTCATATTTTCACGTAAGCTGTAAACCACCTGGGTAGAAATATTGTCTTAGGATCATTTTTGACTACCTGGTTATAAAATCACCACAAAAACACACATAAAAATGGGGAGTTAAGTCCACACAAGGGTTTGAACTACTGTTGAGATTTGCATGAAATTTGAGTAATTTGTTTCTTCTAAAACAAAATGTAAATGTTGATTTGACATTTAAAATGTTACATCCTTAATCTAAACTTTTCTTAAATCACTAATTTACAAGATTTAACTTTTTGCATTTTTCATTAAATTTTGGCTTTACAAGCAAAATATTTCCCCGATTAAATTAAGGTTATGTATTTAATATTATATACAAAATTCTCATCTGGTTCCTTTTAATAAAAATGTTTATAAATCCGAATACAAAATGTATAAAATCAGTTTTCAGTTTTCACCAGTTTGAATTTAAGTTTCCAAAACCAAAATGTACATCACAAACTAAACCTTTGGTATTATTAAATGTGTTTTGTGTTATACGTAATGCGTATTTGTCATTAGGGCGGCAACTAATGATTATTTTTATGGTAAAAAGTGTTTCAGTGTTTCCCTAAACCGCAAGATGACGTCCTCGAAGATCTTTGCTTGTCCACAACACAAATATATAAGTTTACTGTCATAGAGGAGGAAAGAAACCAGAAATATCCAGATTTGAGAAGCTGGAATCAGAGAATTTTGACATTTTTGCTTTAAATGAGGACTCGCAGAGATGAATCAATTATCAAAATAGCTGGGAATTATTGTAATAGTTGACAACTAATCCATTAAGTGACTAATCTTTGCAGCTTTACTTTTCAGTCATAATTAAAACAACTACCTAATAGTTTTTTTTAATGTTCATTTATTTATTTATTATCTTACAAAAGACAACCTACAGAAGCAGAAGTGACTTCTAAATGAAAAGAATAAATAGATTAATAAAACATGACTCTTCTACACAATATACGGTCCCATCTAATCGCATTATCTAGAGGCATTTTTACATTTTAGTTTCATTTTAACCCTGTGAAACATCTAATTATTTGAAATTAGAGCGTTTATTATACCTTATGGCAAAAAATTAATTAATATCACTTTGCATAAATGAGTTTTGTTTAGGATTACGTTATATATTTGGAAAGTAATTGACAAATACACACCAAACACAAATTACTGCCTATTCTCTGAATTGCTCAGTTTTTAGTTAAAATCAATGAGCAACAGACAATTATTAGGAAGTGAACCTTGGAAACAAATTATTGAATCATTTATTATCTTGATACAGCAGGAAAATGCAATAGATGCTAAAAATATTTAAATTTCTGCTCTAAATATGTCTAATAAAGTTTATCCTAAACCTTGAATTAGTTTACTTAAATAATCTAAAAAGTGTATGCAGCCTAATTAAATGCATAATGAAGGAAAATAAAATATGATTTACATTTGTATACATTTATTACCTTACATATCTGCTGTATCTAAGTTGATACACACATTTTCAACACGATTTTACAATGAAATACGTAATTATAAATTGCATCAATCCAGTAAATATTGCTATTAAAGTATCAGAAATTGAATTGAATGTTTTTCTTATCTGAACTTATCTGAATTTTTTGAAACCTCTGTTTTGGTTGTGTCAATTATAGGGCCTATGGTGAATGAATATCGGCCCCCTGGTGGATGATCGGTGCATTGCATGTATCTGATTGTATACATAAGGGGGTTTTGAGGGGGGGGTTATCACACTGATGATGTAGAGGTCTGTAAAAGATATGTATCATATGTGACTCACTGCAGGGATTTTGACTTTGCATATCTGCGTGTATAGAGTGAAGTTATCATCACAGTGTTAAATATAACCCTAGTTATTACATAACAAAACGCCCTTAAGTTTTGATTTCCTTCTTCATTTTAGGTTCCTCTGCAGCTACCGTAATAACCGTTATGAGAGCCCGCCCCCCGGCAGTAGAAACTGTTAATCCACAAAAAAAGTAACACGGTTGCAGGTGAGAGGTTCAAGAAGAGCAACCAGGGGGGGGGGGGGGGGGGATTCTGCATTGTTTTGTTTTTTTAATTCACATCTGCAGCTAAGAGCGGGCGCACAACTTTTATTTCCCGCTGCTATTCTGATCATTACGGTGTTCGTAAACACGCCCCCTTTTCCCCGCAATGTGTGCTGATTGGCCCGCGTCTGTCACATGACCGCGGAAGAAGAGGACTCGGCCGCTGAAAGAAGGGTGAGGAAATAAACAAAATAAAAATGGTTAATTTTAAACGTTAAGCCCCGTGATGGCGGTTTATTCACCGGTGCCGGTTCGTAGCTCGACTTGTTGGCTAACGCTCCCGGTGTTGAGTCACAGGTAAAGCGGTTAGCTTGTTAGCACGACGCAGTTTTAAATCAGTTCCGTTCCGCGTCCGCAGGAAGTGAAAATAAAACACAGCTCACATTTAAAGACATTTACAGCCAGGAGCTGAACTCCGCCGTGTGTTTGTGTTTTTATCACTTACTTTAATGTTCCTGGCTCGTTTTTAAACCCGCCGATGTTGGAAGATATTTATTTATGTGTAGCTGTTTTGCTGTGACATTACGTTAAACAGCAACTTCACTTACATTAAATCAGATTTATCATAATCCGCTGCATTATTGTCGAGTCACGGCGAATTATGTTTCTAACAGCTTTTTGTTGTTTGAGGCCTGAAACGGGAATTTCCCACCGTGACGCCGCGTAATACGTAGTGACGTGTGTGAACGTCGAGCAGGCAGCGTAACTATTATTTAAATTTATTTCTAATTGTTTGTTTTGCAGTGTTACTGTTGTTGCCGCATTCTGACACAAAACGTTTGCAAATAATAAAAATAATAATAATAATAATATACAAAGAGAAGACAAAGTAAAACATATAGAAAGATATGTAACAATATACATATGTAAAATAATATAGAGAATAATATGAGCCTAACTTTAATTGTTTGTTTTGCCCTGTAGTGTTACTATTATTGTTTCTGTTTTTACGTTTGCAAAATAAATACTTATAAAATAATATACATTAAAAAGATGAAGTTAATCTGACAAAGTAAAACATTTATAAAGATATGTAACAAATAAATACAAAAAATAATATAGGGAAGCTTTATTTTAATTGATTTTAATTGTTTGTTTTGCTGAATTACTGTTGTTGCATAACGTTTGCAAAATATAAAAGAAAGTAAAAATATATATAGATATCTAACTTAATAGTATTATATAATATCAATACATATCTAAAACAATATGAAGAAATATGAACTTGAATTAATTTTAATAGTTTGCTTTGCACTTTTACTGTTGTTGCTGCTTTGTGACAAAATATAAAAAAATAATGATGATATACAACAAGAAGTGAAAGTAATATAGCTTTAATATTATTATATTATTATAAAATAATGAACAACAAGAAGATAGAAGTAAATGTCACAACGTAAAACTTATACAAACGTATGTAACTCAATACGATTATATAAGATTAATGAATATGTAAAATGATAAATAAAACAGAACAAATATGGATATATTTAAAAACACTATTATATAATTGCAACGCTACAAGAACAGATGTCATATGGGGGTTAAAAATGTGCAAGAAAATACAGTAAATGTGAATAATCAAATTAATAAGACTACAGAGTTAATGAAATAAACAGTTCACAACATGACAGGAATGAGAGGTTAGTTTGATTTATAGGCTGCAGCATTAGAGGCGGGTGGTGCAACAAATCTGAGGTTCCACTTAACAAGACGCAGAATCTGATCAGACATTTGATGCACGTAAGTGACTCAGCCCGTCCGGAGTATTGATCTTATCGACCGGACGTTGTTTCTGTGTTTCCAGGATCCCTTGCAGCCGTCAGGATGCAGAGCACCACCAACTACCTGTGGCTCATCTCAGACCTGCTGGGTCAGGGAGCGACAGCCAACGTTTACCGCGGCAGACACAAGGTACCGACTGACACCAGACTCTGACGGCACGGGCGTAAATTCAAACAGTTGCATAAGATATTCTTAGTGTAGCATGCAAACACTGATGTTACAAAATCACCTTAATATGGGGACTTTTTGTGCTTACATGGCGGTGGTTTTATCTGGCCAACTACACAAAGCGAGAGTTGTTTAAGTCTGATTTAGATTTATAGGTTGTCTGGGACAGAGGACGTCTCTTACTGAGATATTCAGCTGCAGCACTGATCTGCCACTTTACGTCATCCTGAGAAAAACCCAACCCAACGGTAGATCTAAAGTATTAACCTGATATCAGTTCACACGCAGGCTTATCGCCGTGTTAGTTTTAGTGCAAGACTTACTATACAACAAGCTGCTCAACAAGCTAGTTGACATTATAATAACGAACCGAGGAATCAATGCAAAATACATCAGTTACCATAATTTTTTGTCTTGACTAAATTATTAGTGTCTCAGCATCATCTGTGTATTAAAGATAAAATAATCTGATATTCCTGGGAGCTGTGGCTGCATACTCTCACCTTTTCTTTGCAGAGGAGGAGAAGTGCCGCTTTGGAAAACGCAGTCTTTTTCGTGGTCTGACAGCCGACCCGTAGTAGCTAAATAGAGATCCTGGGTATCAAATGAAAGGTCCGTTCTGAAGTTATCTGCCTGTAAAGCATGGGTGTGCTTTTAGTCACAGGAATATTGATCTATATTCACTGTTTTTATCAACATTTCAGAAATGTTTTAAAGATAACTCCCAATAAAAGTCAACATTGGAACAGTAAATATGGCCAAAATATGGACATTCATATACATTTATTATTTTTAAATGATAAGATAACTGTAGTTCATTTTCATCAAATTTACAGTTACAATTGCATTCCAGGTGCATTAGAAGATATTCAGTTGCATTACAATCTATTTTATGATGGTTTTGATGGTTTATTGCATTAAAATAAAGCTTTTTTTTTACCAGGCAAGGATGAAAATATCATATTTTTCTTTATTGCATCTCTATTTAGTCTGTAATGGTAAAATAAATATGTGAATTTACAATGGATTTATATTCCTTAGAATTCTGCATCTAGGCCTAATGGTTGAGGAGTTATTCCTGGTTCATTTTAGGTATTTTATTTTAGGTGTTTTCCCCGGAAAAGGGTGGAGGTTTCCTGATTTTCCCAACATGGTTGTGGGTTATAGCAGTTTCTGGTCGGGGCTTAGAGCTTTGATAGCATCATACTGGGACTGAAATAAAAGAAGCTCGGGGGAAAGTCTGAAGTCTGGTTATAATTTTGTGCATCCAGTATGAAATGGATAAACTAAAAATGCGCAAGTTATGCTTGCAGGTCTAGCTAGTGTTAGATTCCCATCAGAGCAGCTGACCAATCAGTAAACAGATAGCAGGTGCTGCTGTCCAGTAAAAACCTCCTCAGGATACACCTGTGGTTCCTCACGCAGGAGGCGGAAATCTGAATGGAAATCACAGATTCTGTTTACATGTGAACTGTCTCTTCTTTTACATCTAAAACACTCAGGTTTCATCTCTCAGACGTCACAGTTTGTTTTTATAGTTGATCCAGAAGAGCCGTCAGCCTGTAAACTGCACCAAAGGGGGAATTTCCCACAGCGTTAGACCTGAATCTTTAAAGTCTGCGGATCCGTCTGAACATGATCTTCTGTTTGAATTTGGGATCTCACGTCTCATTTAACGTCGTCGCCTCAGGTCTGTCAGATCAAGTTAAAGCGGGGTGTGGTACGTCTCCACTTGTTTTATTAAGTTCCAGGAGTTTACACACAATTTCAGGAAACCTGCGGAAAATAAGTGCTCTAAAGATTTTATCAATTTTATTATTATTATAAAAATGAGTAATTTGAGAAGGAGGATTGTGACGGAGCAAAATCTTCCAATGGAACTCCACATTTAGACATTCAGAGTATAAAATGTGTCTGAGTTCATGTTTTTGTGTTTAATTGTAGAAAACTGGGGACCTGTACGCCGTCAAAGTGTTTAACAACCTGAGCTTTTTGAGGCCGCTGGACGTCCAGATGAGAGAGTTCGAGGTTCTGAAGAAACTCAACCACAAGAACATCGTCAAACTCTTCGCGGTGGAGGAAGAGGTCAGTAACTGCAGCGAAGCTACGTTAGCTTAGCTTTTTATAAACACTGTTCTCAGGTCTCAGCTGTTTTGTTGCTGCTTCCTGTCGAACTGTAGATTAATTTAATCATCAGATAACCTGACACACACAACGTTTCAAGGGTTGGGTATCACTTCAATTTTATCGATTCAGATTCTACTTATCTCGGCTCTGACTTCAACCCGTTCACGGATCCTCTTCTTCCTCCTCCTCCTTCATGTCTCTAAAGTGAAAGGAGTCTCTGTCCTAGTTACCATAATTTATATATCGCGGCGTCTCTGGGACTCGTCTCATCTGTAACCTTCATTGGTTTCCCTTCAGTATAAAAGGTGAACGTCGGCTCACCTGTGTTCTGTACCTGAGACGTTGCTACTGTTGGCGTTAGCTGGAGAGCGCGACACGCTGAACACGGTGAAGCGTTCCTTCAGATTCACGCCGCGTTGAAGGAAACGCTTCGTCATGTCTGAGCTGCTTCCTCCTTCGCACCAAACCTCCTGACTGCAGCTGCTGCAGTTTGCTGTGTCGTTCTCTTTTTTTTTTTGGTGAAGCTAAACCAAACTTTGGAGCGTTTGCTGCGACCCGCCACGGTCCAAGACCGGAACCAGAAGGACTCTATTCTTCATGCTTTGTCGTCGTAACAAATGTTAGGTCGGCGCAGCAGCTCCTGGCAGATCAGAGACACTTTGATGGGCTGTAAAATGCTGACTGCAGTTCAGTCAGGAGCTGAGATATGCAGGAAGTCAGGAACCGAGAAGCAGGATCCAAACGCACGGGTCTGATCCAGTCCACGGGTCTTGGAGATTTGGTTCTTGATACCCAACCCTCAACATTACTGAACATAAGATGATTGTTATCAATAGAAAGATAGATCAACTTCTGAACAAGTGATATTTTCTTCAGATCCATGCAGATTGTTGAATAAGACAAATGAATAAGGTGAAACAGTGTGTTTAGAAAACTTTGTGTTTAGTTTTAGACTTGTGTTTTTCATCATGATGAAATGAAAAGTGTTTTTTTAAGATGCCTAGAAAAGCGTTAACATGTGTTTGACCTCCTCTTCCTGTCAGTCCAACACCCGTCACAAGGTCCTGGTGATGGAGTATTGTCCCTGCGGAAGTCTCTACACGGTGTTAGAGGAGTCGTCCAACGCTTACGGGCTTCCTGAGGACGAGTTCCTCATAGTTCTGCACGACGTGGGTGAGGGACAGTTCGATTACCTGGAAACTCACCTCATGTTCCGCATGTATAGTCCACTAACTGTTTCACTGATTAGTTACCGTCACTTCTACTTTCTACTTTGACGTATTTTAACCAGAGAAATATTTAGGACTCTAATGCAGGTTTCACACACAACACGATTTTTAAACTTGCATCGCTTTTATCGCACGAGTTTTAATGATGGAGAACACTCAAGCGGCTACATGAGTGTTCTCACACAACGCGACCCAACATTACTACAGCATTACTGTATGAACCCAAAATAAACATTTTGCTGTGAATTAGTTTCAATAAACGGATCAAACGGATGCCAATGTAACTACATCAAGATGCCGATATGTTAAACATATTAAGTTATGCTTAATCAGGTCTGTCAGCAAGTTTACAAGCTTACAATTTTTAAAATGTTTGTTTTCCGAATATAGTTTGGATCAATCGGGGCTATGCTATGCTATGCTAACGTCTTTCATAGCAAAGTACAACGATAGCAGGAATCAAGTAATCAAGTTTTCTTTACTTACCCGGTAGTTCAACTGCCTTGCTGACTTTTCTCCAAGCAGTCTCCTGTTTTGAGATATTTCAACTCGCACGTGATTTATCGCACTCCGCATCGTCTTTGAATTGACTTTGTATGTAATCGCGTCGCCCCAAGCACTGTCATCACGTTGTGTGTTAAACCAGCATAAGGATGCCTTTAAAACACTAACCTGTTGTGTTTTGATGACTCTGAGGTGTTTTCTGATTGGCTGTTGTGTCTTCAGTGGCAGGTATGAACCACCTGAGAGAGTACGGTATCGTTCACCGGGACATCAAACCAGGAAACATCATGCGTGTGATCGGAGAGGACGGACGGTCCGTCTACAAACTGACAGACTTTGGAGCAGCCAGAGAGCTGGAGGACGACGAGCAGTTTGTGTCTCTGTACGGCACCGAGGAATACCTGGTGAGAGAAAACATCTGACATCTGGTGTCAGTTTGAATCCTCTTCGTATCAACATGTCAGAAAAGAGATCTGTGTTTGAATCACCAGCAGGAGATATTCAGGAGCTAATTCCTAAGTTTGGGTGTAAAGTCCTTCCTCATTTCTTAGGAACCAGTTTGTTGTAGGTGGAGATTTACTGTTCAAAGTTACTGAATATTTTGTAAAGTTTGCACTGCGCAACGAATGGTCAGTTCAAGCTGGAAAAGAACGAGCTGTTGGCAAAAATCAAGTTTATATAGTTGTTCTGAACGTCCACACTGAAAAGTGGAGTGAAAAGGTTAGATTGAAAATACATATGGTTAGCAAAAAAAAGTGAGGTTAGCATAAAAATGTTAGCATAAAATGGGATGGTTAGCATAAAAAAGTAAAGTTAGCATAAAAATGTTAGCATAAAAAAGTAAAGTTAGCATTAAAATGTTAGCATAAAATAGTAAAGTTAGCATTAAAATGTTAGCATAAAATAGTAAAGTTAGCATAAAAATAGTAAGGTTAGCATAAAATAGTAAGGTTAGCATAAAAAGTAAATTTAGCATAAAATATTAAGGTTAGCATAAAAAAAGTAAAGTTAGCATAAAAATAGTAAGGTTAGCATAAAATAGTAAGGTTAGCATAAAATAGTAAGGTTAGCATAAAATAGTAAGGTTAGCATAAAATAGTAAGGTTAGCATAAAAAGTAAATTTAGCATAAAATATTAAGGTTAGCATAAAAAAAGTAAAGTTAGCATAAAATAGTAAGGTTAGCATAAAAAGTAAATTTAGCATAAAATATTAAGGTTAGCATAAAAATAGTACGTTAGCATAAAATAGTAAGGTTAGCATAAAAAGTAAATTTAGCATAAAATAGTAAGGTTAGCATAAAAAAGTAAAGTTAGCATTAAAATGTTAGCATAAAATATTAAGGTTAGCATAAAATAGTAAGGTTAGCATAAAAAGTAAATTTAGCATAAAATATTAAGGTTAGCATAAAAAAAGTAAAGTTAGCATAAAAATAGTAAGGTTAGCATAAAAAAAGTAAAGTTAGCATAAAAATAGTAAGGTTAGCATAAAAATAGTAAGGTTAGCATAAAATAGTAAGGTTAGCATAAAAAGTAAATTTAGCATAAAATATTAAGGTTAGCATAAAAAAGTAAGGTTAGCATAAAATAGTAAGGTTGGCATAAAAAGTAAATTTAGCATAAAATATTATGGTTAGCATAAAAATAGTACGTTAGCATAAAATAGTAAGGTTAGCATAAAAAGTAAATTTAGCATAAAATAGTAAGGTTAGCATAAAAAGTAAAGTTAGCATAAAAATAGTACGGTTAGCATAAAATAGTAAGGTTAGCATAAAAATGTTAGCATTAAACAGTAAGGTTAGCATATAAAAATAAAGTTAGCATAAAAAATGCTAGCATAAAAATTTTAACATCAAAAAGTAAAGTTAGCTGCCCATCACAGTTTCCCAGGAGTCCAAGGTGACGTCTTAAAGTCTTGTTGACCTGTTGCGTCTTCTTCATGTGTTTCCTGTGTAGCACCCCGACATGTACGAGCGGGCTGTGCTGAGAAAAGACCACCAGAAGAAATATGGAGCCACGGTGGATCTGTGGAGCATCGGAGTCACGTTTTACCACGCCGCCACCGGCAGCCTCCCGTTCAGACCGTTTGAAGGACCACGCAGGAACAAGGAAGTCATGTAAGAGTGCAATCACACGGTGTAAAAGAAGTGGAGGTAGCCTCCGTGACGTCACCCATTTGTGAACTACTGTTATGAAGCCTCCAGTTTGGCATTTTGGCCGTCGCCATCTTGTTTTATATTAGCTGGGATGCTAACAGGCTTTAAACAAAACGCACTTACCGGAAAAATTCTCCTGATAATCTTTTTCAGCGGCGCTGGTTAAATGTACACAGAGCAGCGGATACGAGTCGCCTCTATCCTGACTGTCAATCAGCTTGTAGCCCCGCCCTAAAGCCTCCCCTGCTTCCTGGTCTCTGTTCCTCTAAATGGGACCATAATTTACTAAATGAACATCATGCTGTGTTGAAGAAGACTTGAAACTAGCGACTGAGACCATAAACTCATCAGGAAAGTGTTTACTGAGGGAATAAATCAGCTGAGAAGAAGAAACATTTTCTCACAGACTTCTATACAATCACACTTCTTTCTGCAGCCCCCTGCTGGCTGCTGGAGAGAACGCAGGTTTAAGGAGCTTCAGTTTGGCCTCACTTTGCAAACGCAGAGGTTCCCGCTCGAGTGCAACGTTAACTTGTTTCTAAAGAGAGTTAAAGTGACTGAGCTGCTTGTTCCTCAGGTATAAAATCATCACAGAGAAACCGTCTGGGACGATCTCCGGGCTTCAGAAGTGTGAGAACGGGAAGATCGAGTGGAGCACAGAGATGCCGGTGTCCTGCAGTCTGTCCAAGTAAGACAGCGCAGTAAATACATGTCAGTGTTTGGGATCTCGTCGTGTATTGCCGACATTCAAACCTTCTGTCAAGTTGTTTTCTACCCCAGTGATCCCCAACCAGGAGTTCTTGGACCTCCGGAGTATTTAAGAATTAGAAATTATAGTATAGTATTAGTGGGAGGACAAAGCAAGATTCATTCCAAACAAATAAGGTGTTAAAGGTTAATGTAACTTAACACAAATGTTTATGTAATGCGTAAACATGGTAAACAAAGCATTTTAATAATAATTATATTATACTGATATATTTTTATTTCTTTTGGAGGACAAAGCAAGATTTGTTTCAAACAAAACATTAAAATAAAGTGTTTAAGGTTAGTGTAACATCAGCATAAAGCAATTAACTTTAGCAAAAAACTACCATAAAAAAAACTACATTGTGATAAACATTTTTAATGAAGTGTTAACATGGTAAAAAAAAATTATACATTTATATTTTTATATTTATTTTAAGAGAAAAAAACGATTAGCATAAAAGTAACTTGTAGTTTAAGTTACTTTGCATAAATAGTTTGTGTATTTATGGGCACAACACAAATAATATATTAAGATCATATATATTTATGTACAAATGTAGAGATCCAAGAAAAATCATTTATTAAATCTGGGAATAAATCTAACAATCTATCTCTACCTCTCTTAATTGTCCATCAACAAAAAGTTTTGATACCAGAATCTCAAATATGAAAATCTTAAATTATAGCGGTGAATCCGCCTGTTGCGTCCTGTGGTTTGGTGTTTCAGGGGTCTGCAGAGCCTCCTGACTCCGGTGCTCGCCAAAATCCTGGAGGCCGATCAGGAGAAGTGTTGGGGCTTCGACCAGTTCTTCGCTGAGACCAACGACATCCTGCACCGGACCGTGGTCTACGTGTTCAGTCTGCAGCAGGCAACGCTGCACCACATTTACATCCACGAATACAACACGTAAGAGAGGAAAGAGGGAATATTCTGTTTACTAGTTTGTAGGATGGAGACATTTTCAACAAGCCTTCTTTAATTGGTTTCATTCATTTCAGTATCCCAAAATCTCTGATAATGTTGTGTTTATTGTTAAAACCTGTAACTTCAGATCAGGCTTCCCCCTGGGTTGGACTGGCTCTTTGCCCACTGTGTGTCTCCTTGTGTCCACAGGGCGGCGCTGTTCCAGGAGCTGTTGACCCGCAGGACCAGCATCCCGCTGCACAACCAGGAGCTGCTGTACGAGGGCCGCCGCCTCGTCCTGGACCCCAACCGCCAGACGCAGTCCTTGCCCAAAACCTCCAGAGACAACCCGATCATGCTCGTCAGCCGCGAGTCCGTCGCCACTGTGGGACTAATCTTCGAAGACCGTACGTAGTGCTGCAGAGTGGCCTGCAGGGCTGAACTTAAAAAGGTCTTAAAACAACTGAAGTAGATCTTTAGAGGGGTTATCTCTTCATTCTGCAGGTCAGCAGCGCAGTGATTTACATTATCAAACACACTGACCACGTTCAGAATGTGCGTCACGGTTATTTAGACAGAGGCTCATTTAACTTAGCTTCGTTTGTGTTTTGGATTTAAGTTGGCATTAACTTAAATTCCAGGAAGCCTTAAAATGGTTTGTCATGCTTTATTTGGAGAATCTCTTGCGTGTGCAGGTCTTGGAAAATCCTAAATCATTAAACGTGAAGATGGAAAGTTTAACTCGCAACTTTTTTTTTTTGTCTTCACAGCTAGTCCTCCTAAAGTTCAGCCTCGCTACGATCTGGATCTGGACGCCAGCTACGCAAAGGTACTGATTTAACTACATCATGTTAAAAAAAGAATCTCAGATGAATCTACATTTGCTGAAAACATTTAAAAAGTCAAAAGAAGCGACAAGTTAACAGATCAGTGACCTTCACACCACACAGTGTTTTAATAATGTAGAAAGGACAGTTTTTGCTTTTCAGAGCCACAGATTTCATCCACAGTTCGCTGAAAGCGGCAGGAACATATTCTGCTCATTTTCAGGTTCATATTGTTTTTAGGGGTCGTACCAGAACAGGTTTACATGGTTCAAAAAACACTATATTTTTGTCAGACTGCACATTGCTGCAGCTCCTCTCTTCACCCTGTGTTGAACGCTCCGTTTTAGCTACGGAGTGAAGCATCTCCCTTCCGCAAGATCTTTGTTGGGAGTTGCACATGCGCAGTACCTAGGACTACTAGCCAATCAGAAGCTGAGTAGGGCGGGTCCTGGCATGCAGGTAACTATGGCCCAATCCCAGTGTCCCCCCTCACAGACTCACAGACTTTGAGGCGCGTTCCCGGGAAGTCCGTGAGGGATCAGGGCCGTCCCGCTGTCAAATCATCAAGTGTGTGAGGGCTCTCTCGCGGACATTTTGAGCCCTTTATAGACCCTTTTCGTAAGTCCGTATTTCTGCAGACTTTGACTGAGGGAATTGCCCACAGTTCATAGCGGTATGACGTAAAACACGGGGGTTACTGGGGGAAGCCCGGAAGAGAGAGAAGTATGACGGCAAATCCGCATTTTAAGAGAAGAAGAAAACAGTAAACAAACAAGCATCGACACCAACGCTGATGTTAAAACTGTTGAAAGTGTTCTTAACTTAAGATGCTGCATAGAACACATGAAGTCAGAGGAACGCAATCACCTCATTACACACTAAGTTTATTCAACTATTTATTTTAGTTTTTGCTTAATGATGCTGTTTGACCAACAATAGTGTATTGATTAATTACAAATATATATTGACATTTAGGCTACCTCTCCTCCACTCTGTAGGGCGAGAGCCTGCAGGACTTAAAAATAAGGCAAAAACATGAAAAAAAAAGGTTGCAACGTGTTTCAGCAGGTAACATGATAAAGTGGCAAAGTGCTGTCCTGTTCCTGTTTACAGCATTTTGAGCAATCAATCACTTTCCAAGTGACGTCAGTAAAGTCTGTGAGGGTTCAGGGCTCAGGGCTTAGGGGGGACATTGGGATTGGGCCAAAGGCTTCAGTTCATATCTACATGTTTCTGAACCAGCTTCACAAACTAGACTGGAGCAAGAGTTTCAGAGTGGCAAGTTATTAATCTGTAACACATTTATTTATCGTCTCTACATCACAGGAACAGCTTTATGTCCTCTGACTGTGTGGACGGTCTAAAGGCTGCACAGGGCCGTCCCGCTGTCAAATCATCAAGTGTGTGAGGGCTCTCTCGCGGACATTTTGAGCCCTTTATAGACCCTTTTCGTAAGTCCGTATTTCTGCAGACTTTGACTGAGGGAATTGCCCACAGTTCATAGCGGTATGACGTAAAACACGGGGGTTACTGGGGGAAGCCCGGAAGAGAGAGAAGTATGACGGCAAATCCGCATTTTAAGAGAAGAAGAAAACAGTAAACAAACAAGCATCGACACCAACGCTGATGTTAAAACTGTTGAAAGTGTTCTTAACTTAAGATGCTGCATAGAACACATGAAGTCAGAGGAACGCAATCACCTCATTACACACTAAGTTTATTCAACTATTTATTTTAGTTTTTGCTTAATGATGCTGTTTGACCAACAATAGTGTATTGATTAATTACAAATATATATTGACATTTAGGCTACCTCTCCTCCACTCTGTAGGGCGAGAGCCTGCAGGACTTAAAAATAAGGCAAAAACATGAAAAAAAAAAGGTTGCAACGTGTTTCAGCAGGTAACATGATAAAGTGGCAAAGTGCTGTCCTGTTCCTGTTTACAGCATTTTGAGCAATCAATCACTTTCCAAGTGACGTCAGTAAAGTCTGTGAGGGTTCAGGGCTCAGGGCTTAGGGGGGACATTGGGATTGGGCCAAAGGCTTCAGTTCATATCTACATGTTTCTGAACCAGCTTCACAAACTAGACTGGAGCAAGAGTTTCAGAGTGGCAAGTTATTAATCTGTAACACATTTATTTATCGTCTCTACATCACAGGAACAGCTTTATGTCCTCTGACTGTGTGGACGGTCTAAAGGCTGCACTACAAACGAGCTGTTTTCAGTTCAGGAACAGAGTTTTCTGTGGGAGATGGGAACTCTCTTTGCGGTGGACTTTTTCACTTTGCAAACCTGTTACATGGACAAAAAAAGATACTTTACTTTCACCGCGTGACAGTCCAGACGTCGCAGTAGATTATCACAGAAACAGATCCAGTGTGTCGTTACGATAATTTGACTCCATAAAGTAAAATTAGATCCACTTCTCTGCCTTTTGTTAAATATCTGATCTACCGCTGAGAATCCTGCTCACGTGATTGGACACCTCAACAGTTTAACCTGAAGTGCCCTTTATTAAAGTGAATACACTGTTTGAGCACAGCTGAACTTACTCGCTGATGTTGTTGTTCAGACTTTTGCAGGTGATGTTGGACATTTATGGAAAACTTCAGAGTCTCTGCTGGTCTATCAGGAACTAGTACGGAAAGGAGTTCGTGGTTTAATGTGAGTTCACATCAGACTCTGTGTGTTTGTGCATGAAGGTTTTTCCAGGTATAAAGGCATCAGCTTGGACTCCTTTTTGTTTGGGTTTTTCTTGACTCAAAGATGCAGATGATCTAATAAACACGTCTGCTGAAGGACTGACTGACTGTCCGCCCAGTGAGCAGACTGGTTTAGATTTAGCTCACTTCCTGAGCAGAAAAATCAAGTCAGTCAAAGAAAACCGATAAGAATTTAGGAAACATCTTGATGCAAACAAGTGACTTTGGTCAGAAATCTTTTTAGGGATCTTTATCCAACACTGCAAGCTATTACAAAACAATTTACATATACTTTACATTACTTACGTGTATTTATTATTATTATGTGTGTGAACATATTAGAACGCCCCCATATTTCTAGTTTTTATGTAAATCTAAGTAGTTCAAGTCCAGTGAAAAACCTTAAATGTACCAAATTAAGCAAACTGACAAAGTTAAAAACGTTTACGTCACCAAAACAGACAGTTTTAGATCTAAAATGAACAGTTTTGCTCATTATTTCACTGTAGGATTAACCGATGACCAGCTGCTCTGTGTTTCTTCATTAATATTATTTAATATATATATATAGTACAAATAAAAACTCTGAGGTTAATTAACAGGCTGTTCCAAGGTGCTTACTGTTACGTGTTTACTTTCCTTCCACTGCTGCAGGAAAACTTGAAGTTGTTAACTCATTATTAATCCCTGAATATTGCAAATCTCTGAAATTTACAATTTTCCCCAGTTTTGTTGACCTAAACTTTGTCTTTACCTTCTTTGGTTATTCTGCAGCAGTGGAAGGAAATGAAGCCTTGAAACCCATTTCTATAGAAGCACCTTGGAACAGCCTGTTAATACACCCCCAGAGGCTTTATTTGTACTTTTATTATATATATATTATATATTAATGAAGGCAGACGGAGCAGCTGGTCATCAGTTGATCCTACAGTGAAATAATGAACAAAACTCTTTAATTAAATTGTTAATTTTAGATCTGAAAATATCTGTTTTGGTAAATATTGTTTTTATTTTCCTTATGTACCATTTAAGGTTTAGTGTTTGTGATACTTTTGAGCGGTAGTGCTTTGATGTTGAAAACACAATCTCTTGTCTGTCTTTATCCAGCGAGCTGATGAAGGAGGACTACAGTGAGATTCAACACAAGAAGTCGGAGGTTTTCCATCTTTGTAGTTACTGCACACAGATCCTGGAGAAGACTGAACAGCTGTGAGTGACTCGCACGCACAGTAATAAACAGAATTTAACTTTACACGTGTCATGTGACCTCCTGACTTCCTGTCTCCTGTCGCGCAGGTTTGAGGTGCTGATGCGGGCCAACGTGATGTCATCAGAATACGACGAGATCGCAGACATGCACAAGAAAGTTCTCAGAGTGAGCGCTCGCTGTATTTAGGTTTTGACATGTTTAGCTGTTTATGGTCGGGAACTTCATTCATGTCTTTAAGTAAAGTGACTACATTGCGAGCAAGGCATTCCTCTGTGGTTGCTAGAGGTAACGATTTATTTCAGGCAGGATCACGATTTTGTCACAATTCATTTTCATGTTGGTTTGTAAGACCAAGAAAGAACGTGCCGTTTGCTTCTGCATATTTAAAATCACAAAGACAGGGAGGGACTTGTTGCGGATATTGATTGGCGTTTACAGTAGCCAGTAGCGCTGAATGTGCGTTACGCCCCCCCCCCCCTCCTCATGCAGACTGGTTCCAGCTCCCAGTGAATGAACACTGCAGCGAGACCGGGTCTGAACACAGCCTCCAAGACCGACGGAGGCCAATTCGACGACAGGGAATACAGGCCGGCCTGAAAACCTCCAGGGGTGTAACGTTAACACTAACACACACCCCAGGTGCTCTGAGCTCCCAGTCCAGACTGAGTCAGCTCTCACCGCTAGAAAACAGCAGCTAGTATGCCGCGGTTACTTTAGCAACAAGTAACGCTATCTCTGTCAGCAAACTCCGCAAATCACATAAAGCGTTGAGGCAGAGCAGCCGTGCGACATGGGGAACTTTAGATTTGACTGAGATGTTTATATTGACTGCTAAGGTGTTACTGAGTGGTCTGTTGGTGTTTATTAGTATGTACTCGTGTTACATATTGGTGTGTGTGCAGATCTCCAGCTCTTTGGAGCCCATTGAACGAACAACACAAGACATCAAGAGTAAATTTCTCCCAGGAGGCCTGCTGACTGACCTCTGGACACAACAAGTGGGGACACACCCCGAGGACAGGAAGTAAGGCCGTCTGTCTGTGTGTGTTTACATGTAGTAATGTGTAATATAAGCATGGTACAGTATAACTAGATGTGTGACGGTGAGCTTGTCTCTGCAGTGTGGAGAAAATCAAAGTGCTGCTGGACGCCATCACGGCCATCTACCAACAGTTCAAGAAGGACAAGGCAGAAAGACGTGAGTTCTCCCAAACAAACAATAGTCTAATAAAGAGCTCGTTAGCTGTAAAAACTGGGGGGCTAATATATTATATATCCAGTCCAGTCATACTCAGTAGTTTGGAGTGAAATTCTTAGTTAGGATTTTCATAGACTGTGTAGGTCGAATAGGACTGCAACGATTAGTCGGCGTGATCGAAGGCGTCGATTATTATAAAAAATTCGTAGACGTGAAATTTCATTGTAGACGCGTGTTACAGAGATGCCGTTGAAGGCCCGGATCAGACAGAACGGGTTTTTTGCAGTGAGAGTGTGTTTTTGCGCCCTGGGCGTCTTGCGTTTTGGCCGCCTGCTGCGCCTTTTCGAAGGAGCGCTCTGAGCACACAGAGTTGAAAAAAATTCAACTCTGGGCAGAAAAGCGCCTGACGTCACCCGCGTTGTTTTTCCCATTGTCCAATCGAATGAAAGGACAGACGAGTCCTCAGTTGTGCTGACGGAAGTTGCTCGGATTGTCCGAAGACGCAACAATCTGTCCCCGAGTCATCCTAAAATAATCCTTGAACCGACAATCATTAAGACGAAGCCCCTGGACCAGCTGGCGGTACAGATCTCCGTTTCCTGTCTCCTGCGTGTTTGTTCACCTCTCACCCTCAAACAGTGCCCGAGCAGGCGCCCTGCGTTTGTCTGTTTTTTTTAAAGCAGATGTTTTTAGCAACAAAAGACTCAGACCTGTGAGTTGTGATCAAGTTTCTGCTAATATGACCGTTATAACTTAGCAGCAAACCGGAGATTTCAGATCGCTGGCGCTATAATCTTTGATTATAGCAACATGAAAAAAACGCAGCGCACTGCCCTTTTCCAAATTCAACCAAAAGGGGCTTCTGCGTTTTCGAACCTACGCTTTCTGTCTGATCAGGGCCTAAGGGAGGATAGAAATAAACAGCCAGAAATGTTCCTAATATGAAGATTGCTAACTGCAGTGTCGACTACTGACTACTCACGAAGAAGAAGCTGTCACGCCAGAAGCGGAAAGCAGCGGAGAAAGAGGCAGAACAGCTGAACGTTTTTTGTTTTTACAAGTTTTGTATAACATTTCATCACTAAATACTCTTTTGAGGCGAGAAATCAACTGAGTAGAATTTGAATATCGGCAGTTTTACCAAAGTTGATGGCGAATCAAAAATGTTTTCGGGGGTTGAGAAGCTCCACAAGCGCCCGCGAGGTTAGTGGTCGGCCGGTCTCGCCCACAGAGCGCCCTGGTCCCAGTTACAACAACAGATCAGCAGAGGAAAGGCCACAGCTGTAAGATAGTTTCAGTGTTCGTACCGCTGTTATTCTGTCTTTGCAATCTGAGTAATGCTTTAACATTTTAAAGTAAATCAAGAAACATCTGGCTCGTGCTGTCGCCTACAGAACATTCTCCACAAATAAAACTTATAAGCACTTTGGAAAAATAAACTACAGAAGTATGAAAGGTGACTGTTGCTTTATTATTCTAAACAGACATTGTTAGAGTACGGTTGTGGTTATAGTTTTTACTTTGAATGTACCGAAGCAAAAATCTTTGCAGTGTTTCCCACAGAAGGACAGTATAACTGTGGCCAGCGGAGGGGGGGGGATACAGCGTGTTCGAAAACCCAGCTGTTTTCTAACATTAACGTTAGCTCTCCTTATTAGTTTTGTTGTATTATGTGTTCGCCATCTTGGATTAATTTAGCATGCTAATTTAATCTAAAGAAAATCACACTGTTAAAACCAAGATTTCATTTATTTTCTTTAAATAGTTCTTTATCTGTTTTGCCTGTTTCTTCTGCTGCTTGTGATGATCAGTAAGATGTTATTTTACATCCTGTGTTTAGGTCTGCCGTACAACGAAGAACAGATCCATAAATTTGACAAGTAAGTGAATTAACAGCAGTTTTTTATGAGATATCGCTGACATGTATACATGTGTACTGCCCTACAAAGGCAAAACAATTGTGACCTGCATATGTGGTCAACATGTAGTTTTAACCTGTATCTGACTTCTGTTTGAAAGTCATGTCATAGAAATGTTTCTGTGAAGACAGATTTCTAAATTAGCTGTTACTCTGCACTCTGGGTATTACTACACTCAATTCAATTTCAATTCAGTTTAGCTTTATTGGCATGAATGTAAAACAACAATATTGCCAAAGCTAAAAAAAAAAATTACAAAAGAACAATTAATTTCATACATTTCATTAAATAAGTAAAAAAAAACTGTCAAAGAATAATAGTAAAAATATATACAAAATACATAAAATGTGAAAACAAAGTAAAAGTAAATATTAAAAAATACATAAAATATGAAAACAAAGTAAAAGTAAATATTAAAAAAAACAGTAAGTGTTAAAAAATAATAAAAATATATAATATGAAAACAAAGTAAAAGTAAACAAACAGTAATTGTGTGTTGGGAATTCAATTGATATTTTTCATAAAATAAATAAATCAGTAAATGTGTGTGTGTTAATAGACAAAAAATAAATATAAAAAAACAAAGGAACAATAACTAAAATAATAATAATTTGAAAAATTTAAATTAGCATTATTTAAGATATTTATCAGTCTGAGTTTCTACTGATTGTCCTCAGTTTGTGGCACGAGTAGATATATTTTACGGCAGTACTCTGGCAATGCATTTCCGTACTCTTTAGTATAAATATTAATTGTACTCTGACATACATAAACTTTAAACAGTAAAAGTGGATTTCTATAAGCTATGGACTGTAAAAAATAATCACACTAAACGGGTTAAAGTGCATCAGAAAGCTGAGGGAACACATGTCTGTAGATACTGCAGTATTTAGGGCAGTATTTGCAGTTCTCGGATATTGTGCGGGTTCTATGACAGTGGGAATAATCATCCTGAAAAGATATAAAAATCCCATTAGTGTGAACTTCCTTCTGTCGGGTTTTATTTCGAAGTCTTAAACCTGTGTGTGTGTTTTCTCTGACAGACAGAAGTTGGTCCTTCACGCCGGTAAAGCCAGATCGCTGTTCACCGAGGAGTGTGCCATGAAGTATCGTCTCTTCATCTCTAAGAGTGAAGAGTGGATGAGGTAAAACACAGAAACTTTCTCCTCTTCCTCCACACCTCACCTATGTACCACAGACAGGAAGTGGCCCTAGTCTCTCTGTGGCTTAGTGAAGCATCAACAGTGCGTGCTCGGTGTGTTAAAAGCGTCTCGTTTTAATGTTTTCAGGAAGGTTCATCACGTGAAGAAGCAGCTTCTCGGTCTGTCCGGTCAGCTGATCAGCACCGAGAAGGAGGTGACCATGCTGATGGAGAGAGCCATCAAGGTAATTTTCCACGTACACTGAGGAAGACTCCGTAATTAGAGCCCAAAATTCCAGCGTGGCGAAAGAGATAAAAGCAGCCCCTTGGCCGCGTTTCACCAAATTGTATGAAGTTTTTGTGGAAGGTGCATCATATCCAGACCTACAAAAAATCCTCTTGGAGCAATACTAAAAAACCCAACCGGAAGTCGGTTTCATTTTAAATTTAAAAATTTTAATTTAAAGTTTTGGTGATTCCAAACTTTAATGAACTCCTCATAGAGAATGAATCCGATCAACATACATTTTTTGCATTGCATTCTAAAGGCATTGACGATGAAAAGTTGTGCTATTTGTGAGTTTTCGTCGACGGGCGTGTCCGTGGCGTGGGGTCAAAAATTGATGATTCGCTATAAAACGGGAAGTTGTTATAACTTCAGTGTACATGCTCACATATTTTACAAATTTGACAGGTGTGATGACAGTCCCGCTCTGAAGACACCTACAAGCCAAGAGGTGCATTTGATTTCATGCAGCGCTGACTAGTGAAAGATATTTTAGGTGGGGCTGTGCCATATCCAGTCAGTTCCAGTAACCGTTCCAATACAGTTCAGCACAAACTGCAGGATACCGGCGCTTAGTGAAATAGTCAGAAATTATTTAACGCCAATATTATTTTATTATTACTTCAAAAATGTTTATTTTGAAAAGAAAAATCAAAAACTTTCCACCACCAGGGAGGGCGGCGCCCTAGCTCCCTCTGTTGGCCAGCCTCCACTGCATGCTGGTTAGAAATTGTTTCTGACTTTCACCGGCGCTGCAAAACGTCACCATGTCACATGACATTAAAACCTCACAGGAGCATAGGAGTCCAGCGACCGCAGTTGCTCTCCGGCTACACAAAGTTGGAATCACCTTTTGTCATTGATTTCAGCTCACAGTAAGCTCACACAGGTAGAATGTGTCCAAGTTAACGGCGCCGTTTTTATACCCCCCCCCCTGCAGTCATCAAGTTGGCGAAAGCGAGCCGCAATCATCTGAAATGCACCTGATATTCAATTAATGTTATAGCGCCCCCTACTGGCAACAGGAAGTACGCTTTGTATGATGGTGCTCATTTAATTTAACACACTTACTTACTTACTTACTGTACTGGTAGATTTTGCGGATGTTCTCTAGCGCCACAGGGGACACAGGAAGTGACGTTTAACTTCTTCGTGAGGCATCAAAAGCACATGATAACTCAGAGCCATGCTGATGAGCAACTGCCCTGTCGCCGCAACATGCCCCGACATGCGAGGGCCCATCCAACACTGCTTGAAGCTTTAATTAGATGTTGGTTTCCTAACGAGCTGTAGTACATTAAACGAGGTTTTACTGTGTTTGTGCAGCTTCAGGAACAGCTGCCTCAGAAAGTTCTTCCTCTGGTGTCCAGTGGGATGAAGCCTCAGTCAGCCTACCTGAGTCAGAACACGCTGGTGGAGATGACACTCGGGTGAGATCTCATCATCATTACGGACATCTGACAGGGGAAAAAACAAAACACTATTATTTCTATTTAAAGTACTATTTATAACAAAAAAAACTTTATTTTTAGTAATGATTTACATATCAATTTTCCTATAATATTAATTTCTCTGGTGACCTCATCACATAATCACGTGACTTGTTGTTTTTCAGGATGAAGAAGCTGAAGGAAGAGATGGAGGGAGTGGTCAAAGAGCTGGCAGAGAACAACCACTTCTTAGAGAGGTCAGTCAGCACAACAAGTACATGGTTAGCCTAGCTTAGCACAAAGACTGGAAACGGGAGGAAACTGCTAGCCTGGCTCCATTAAGGGCACCTTTGAATTTGCACTTCAAATTGACTTGTTAAGGTGCAAATTCAGTTCTTTCTTTGTTATCTAGTTAAAAAAATGTAATTTATCCTGATTGACAGGTCGCCACTTGTTAATTAGCTTGAAGCCCCGCCCTAAGGTCTCCCCACCTTCCTGGTCTATGTTCCTCTAAATGGGACCATAGAAGTAGAAACATTTTCTCAGAGACTTCTATACAATCACACTTCTTTCTGCAGCCGCTGGAGTCGCCCCCTGCTGGCTGCTGGAGAGAACGCAGGTTTAAGACACTTTCCCTGCTTGATTGAAATTATTAAAATGAATTATTTTATTTCCCATTTGAGTTTTGAACCGATACTTTATTGTTTACGGTCAAAGTTCAAGAGCAGCTTTCAAGATATTTAGTCAATTTTAAGGTTTTAGGGGTTTTATTGTTTAAAATTCCTATAGATTAATATCTATTAATGACTCTAAATTTGGGTTCAACCTGTAAGAAAACAGACATATCCATTAAGTCAATCTGAAGTTTAAATTAAGCCCGGTCTCTGTGCTAAGCTAAGCTAATCACTACCTCCAGTACGCGATGGCTGATGAGATGCTGACATGTGTTTCTCCTGCAGGTTCGGGACTTTGACGCTGGACGGAGGTCTGAGAGGCTGAGAGACACAATTGTTGTAAATATTCAGTGTGTTTATCTTGTAAATAACTTGAGACTGTAAGACGAAGCTTTTTGTATGAAGGCGCTGTTACTCTCCTGCAGACTCGCTCGGCCTCAAATGCTTTGTTTACCTGATGGTCAGTCAACAAACTCAGAACTATTTCATTAACTCTTAACTTACCCTTGAAAACACAGCAATCACTTAATTAGCCAATAAAATACTGTAGATTCTATTGGACACTTAACTGTCCCCTTAATTTAAACATTAATGTGGAATATTTGACAAATCCAATAATGATAAAATCAAGGTGCTATTTAGGGTTAAGGGATTCTGTGTTAATGATTTATATTTTAAGAGATTCTTATTGATTTAAAGCAATATATACATTAATGTCTTTTCTTTGGGCATAAAAAAACCCCTTAAATTTTAAAAATCGACATTACAGGTCCCCCTTTGTTTATACCTAAATCGCTAATTCATTTTTACATTTAAACATGGAATTAATACTGAATAAGAATCTCTTAAAATTTAACAATTAACTTGTAGTTAAAAGTCTAGCGTACACCTTAAATCTTAAAACCTTACATTCATCATTCATGGATTTGACAAATACTAAAAAGTTGATGTGTACATTAGAATCTACTTCATTTAGTTAATTAAGGTCTTGAAACTAAAGTGTTAAAGGATTTTCCTTTGTTAAATTAATGGACAAATTAAGGACTTCGGGCTAACAGAATATGTTGATTCAGATTAAAGGTGTAAATTAAGGATTATTATGTCATGGTGACTGTAATAAATACAGGTTTTATGCATGTTTGAGTTTTACTACAAAGTGTCTTTGGAGTAAAAACTCCTTAAAATGAACACTGTAAAGTTATAGGCACCCTTAAAATGGACCAAATAATATTTTGAACTGAATTTTAAATTCAAATTCATAATTTAAATATCAAGAATTAAGGGGTTTCAGTCCCTTAAAAGGGCCTTCAACTGTGCAGATAATCCTTTAAAAATACATTAATCATCTCCTCCCTTAACTATTAATGGGTAAGAATTTTACGGGACTAAGTTGAAAAATGCTGATTATATTAGATGTTTATTTATTGTTCTAAAAGGGCGATCAATAATCATTATGAGTTTATTAGCTTGTCACATTTTCTCTCCAGACAAGAAGTTGCTGGTCGATCATTTGTAACTTGCAGAAATACCTCCTGCCCGTTCACCTCAGATCATCTTCACCTTTTACTCGTTAGAAGATGTTCATGTTCGGTTTTGTTAATGTTTTGTTTTGTCAACATTGAAAATGCTCAATGACATGTAAATAAATAAATATAAAAAAATGTCTGTGTTCTGTTCAAACGGATATTAGGTTAAAACTACGAGATTACTAAATTAAAATGAAAATTTTGACTTCCTTTGTCTAAACTCTGAGATTTGAGAGTTAAAGATATAAAATGTTATAATAATATAATAAAGTTAAAAAAAAAAAAAACTTATTAGTAGTTTTAAATGTCAGTTTTGTTTCACCAATAATACTTTTGTTTCTATTGTTATGGCATAAATTATCTTCCATACGAGGTTCAAAACCTACCTTTTTACTGTTCAACTGAAGAGAGGTTTGTTTGGTGTCCAACGTTCATCGGCTCCGGTCCAGTCAGGAAGTCAGTCTTTTGTACATCTGGTAAAATGGTAAACATCCTGTATAAGGGACAAACACATTACATTTATTAAATAAATAATTTTTCATTTAACAAGGCAAGTTAAGAACAAATTCTTGTTTACAACCACCTGGGAAGAAAAATACCTCCTATTGAAGGAAGGGACATACAGAAATAAAGGGTTTTTAAAAAAAAGATAAACAGAGACAATCAGATTAATGAGACATAACATATGAAACGATATAAGAATCAAAACACAAATACAAACAATCTTCACAACGGGAAACAGGGCAGCAAGACGACATATGATCAAATAACATCATGGTGGAAGCAGGATGGAACACACTTTAAAAGGTTATGAGTGAATTAGAAGATAAAACAGGCCGTGAGGGGCTTTTAGAAAAACTTTAAACACATGGCACAAGTTTCTAAAAGGATGAAGTTGTAAAACAACTGCAAACATTTGAAAAAACTAATACAAGTGATTTCCTGAAAGCAAATACTGTGAAATGAAAGTTGTAAAATCTTTTGTAAGTCATTCCAGACGACAGTGATAGCGACCAAGGGCAGTGTGCCTTGAGAACAGATTTAAAGAGTCAAAAGACATAGGTGCTAAATATTTGATCACTAAATTAAAATTTTATTATTATAAAGTGAAAGTATTGACTTAATAGGTCAAAATTAAATGATACAGTCAAACTAATGAGATACAAAACAGTAAAGGTAAACGAAATTTTTTATTTGTAACTACATTTTTCAGTTGTGTTAGCTTTTATTTTCTTGGCAGAACTTAGCTTCCATTTGAGGATCAAACAAAGTACCTTACCTTCTTATTGTCTGATTGAGAAGCGGTTTGTTTGGTGTCCAAAGTTCACTGACTCTGGTCCAGTCAGGAGGTCAGTCTTTTGAACGTCTCTGGTAAGATGGTGAACATCCTGTATCCGGGACAAACATACAGTACATTACATTATTAAATAAAATGTTTGAGATTTACAAAGTCAAAAGAGCTAAGTGCAATATATTTGATCACTAAATTAAAATCATGAGAAGTCAGATGTGTAACTCACTAAATCCAAATTCAAGCAAAAATACTGACTTAAGTCAAAATCAAATGATAGAGCCAAACTTAGATCAACAAAAAGGTAAAGGTAAACCTAATTGTTACTCATTATCTCAAAACGTCTCATCTTAAAAAGTCAAACTTTTATTTTTCAGTTGTGTTTGTTTTTATTTTCTTGGCAGAAATTAGCTTCCATATAGGTTTTAAATAAAGCCCCTTTATTGTTTTTGACTTAAAAGTGGCAGTTTGGTCTGCATGTGTCTGATCTGAAATGTATATCATCATATATATATATATGGAGGTTACATACAGACTAAATTTTTGTTTTGTTTCACAGCCACTTTGCACAGTCACTTTTTAAATTCTCTGATAAGATGGTAAACACTTGTAGCACTGTAGATGTGATTTGGAGGCCCATTTAAAGCCCATAAAGTACATGAAATATTAGATAAAGAAAAATCTAATTTATAGGATACTATATATATAAAATATGGATTTACTAAGATTATGAAAGGCAGGACTGTAGATATGATGCTACGTTTATGTGGAAGCTCATTGACAAAATGTATGAAACAAAAAAACTAATAGTACAAGATTATTAAATTAAATGGTAACAAGTCATAATTTTGACACTTACATACTGAAATTATGAAAAAGACAAACTTTTGTACATATTAAAGAAATTAATTACATAATTATTCATAATTTAGGTCCAAATTAAGAGATTAGATTGATAATTGTGACTGACCAGGAGCAGATTTTTAGTTTCATTGTTGCAAACTTGGAATCCATATGTTGTTGTGATTTTACTTCTCTTGGCAGAAATGAGCTTCCATACCTTTAAGGTGTTTATTAAGTATCATGCTGATTTGAATTAAAATCACGCCAACATCTTTTACAGACGTTCTTTGAAAAGTTCATGTTGACTTACTGACGTCGACACGGTTTGTTGAAGAACTAAAATCTTTAAATAAAATAATATTGTCCTCTCGAGCCCTGTTTGTTCTCTCCCTCCCTCCCATCAGCACCATTGTTGGTTTCCCTTGGCAACCCGGCCCTGTTGGAAAATCGCCATCTCCTCGGCGCTGTGGTTGCCATGGCAACGTGCTGCGAAAGCAACCCCCGTCAGCATCCGACCAATAATTGCAGATGGACAGCATAATTTCCTTTTATAGAGCAGACATGTTGCAGGCAGAGAGAGAGAGAGAGAGAGAGAGAGAGAGAGAGAGAGAGAGAGACTCGTCCCGGTGTGAAGGTCGGCGGGCGACACCTCAGAGTTACCCTGCTTCTGTAATGCATGCTGGAAAAATATTAATTGATCAATATAAATTGTCTGTCCAGCAGCAGCATACATAACACATGAAGGGAGAAAACATGGATGAATAAAACGGTTAAATAAATCATCTTCTTAATCTCAATAAAATCATCTTAAACTACAGCCACACTCACAGAGGAGGAGGAAGAGGAGAATGAAGATGATGAGGATGATCAAGATGAAGATGAGGAGGATGATGTCGATGATGAGGAGGAGGCAGGTAGACAGACCAGCCAATCATTGCCGTGCGTCTCACAGTCCTGCAGCAGCCACAGATACCCGATTTCTTTCATTTCTGTATCAGAGCATTTGATTTATTGATCACTGTCGATATGTAAAGAGAATTTTAACAAATATAACAAAACATGATTCTACAATAAACTACCTACAGCGTGTTGACCGCATCCCACCTAGCAAGACAACTTACCCAACGTCTAAACTACAACGTCTAAGTCTACGTACGGGGTAAAGACTTGATGAAAAGTTGTTTTGAGTTTGTGTGTTCATGCTATAGTAATAATATGTACCAGTTATATTTTGTTGGTTATTTTATGTACGTTAACATACTAATGTTTAGCGTGCTAGCGTGTTAGCCTTCTTCTGTTAAAGTGGTGGGCCAAAACAAACCAGATAAAAATGAGCTGGAAAAGTTTTAAGTTAAATGAAACAACTCATTCAAAGATTGTGTCAAAAAACTTGCGATCTTTGTCCTGTGCGAATCTGCTATGTCCGTAGTTTGTGAAGTAAAAAATGTGAACGCAAATTACCTTCCATATCCATATTTCACCAAACCACAGCCCGAAGTGGGTGTAGACGCCGTGACGTCACCCATTGGTTTGTGAACTACCGTTTAGAAGCCTCGAGTTTGGCATTTTGGCCGTCTCCATCTTGTTTTTACTGAAACAAGATATGACCATATTTGGGCAAGAGGGTGGAGCTAGCTAGCTTGGTTAGCTAGGTGCATCTGTAATTCAAGGAAATCAGTGATATTAACTGGGATGCTAATTTTGGCTAGCAAAAAACAGGCTTAAAACAAAACATACTTACGGGAAAAATGAATAACCAGCTCCTAATAAGCTTTTTCAACGGCGCTGATTAAATGTACAAGTCGCTTCTATCCTGATTGTAGGTGATCACTACAAGAGAGACTTTTAGCCCCGCCCTAAAGCCTCCCCTGCTTCCTGGTCTCTGTTCCTCTAAATGGGACCATAATTTACTAAATGAACATCATGCTGTGTTGAAGAAGACTTGAAACTAGAGACTGAGACCATAAACTCATCAGGAAAGTGTTTATTGAGGGAATAAATCAGCTGAGAAGAAGAAACATTTTCTCATAGACTTCTATACAATCACACTTCTTTCTGCAGCCGCTGGAGTCGCCCCCTGCTGGCCGCTGGAGAGGACGCAGGTTTAAGTCGCCCCCTGCTGGCTGCTGGAGAGGACGCAGGTTTAAGTCGCCCCCTGCTGGCTGCTGGAGAGGACGCAGGTTTAAGTCGCCCCCTGCTGGCTGCTGGAGAGGACGCAGGTTTAAGTCGCCCCCTGCTGGCTGCTAGAGAGGACGCAGGTTTAAGTCGCCCCCTGCTGGCCGCTAGAGAGGACGCAGGTTTAAGTCGCCCCCTGCTGGCCGCTAGAGAGGACGCAGGTTTAAGTCGCCCCCTGCTGGCCGCTGGAGAGACGCAGGTTTAAGTCGCCCCCTGCTGGCCGCTAGAGAGGACGCAGGTTTAAGTCGCCCCCTGCTGGCCGCTAGAGAGGACGCAGGTTTAAGTCGCCCCCTGCTGGCCGCTAGAGAGGACGCAGGTTTAAGTCGCCCCCTGCTGGCCGCTAGAGAGGACGCAGGTTTAAGTCGCCCCCTGATGGCTGCTGGAGAGGACGCAGGTTTAAGTCGCCCCCTGATGGCTGCTGGAGAGGACGCAGGTTTAAGTCGCCCCCTGCTGGCTGCTAGAGAGGACGCAGCTTTAAGGAGCTTCTTCCCGCTTGTGCCAAACACCAGTCATGTGATCACATTAGCACCTCGTGAAAAGGCATCTCTGTGATTCGGGGTGAAAAAAAATTTGTTGTTGATTTGTTTTGCAAGGTTTGTCAGAAAACCTCCCTCCTCTTCTTCATCAGCTGCAGCTTCATCCTCCAGCAGACACGGACAAACATACAGGTGGTGGACAGACAGACATGATGTCTGCTGCCCTCACGGACCTCCTCCTCTTCCTCCTCCGGGCTGCTGCTGCTCGTCTCCTCCAAGATGAACAAGATGAAGCGTCTCTTCCTGTTCTGCTCTGAAACGGTGAGTTCGCCGCTAAACTCCCCACATTTAACCCCAGAGCCGCAGCTGACAGTCGGGCTGAGGAGCGCCGACGCACGGAGGCTGTGCGCGGCTGTTTCCAGCTCCAAGCTGCGTCTGAAGCACGGCTTGTCAGCCGCAGATCTCCGGAGGGAAACCTGCTCGTGTCTTTATTCTGTGTGCGGTGTTTTGATGTGATTTGAAAAGACGTGGTTCTCCTGCTTTGGTCCTCCTCCACCGCGGAGCCTCCGTTGCAGGAGCGCGTCTTTACAGGCCGGAGGCACGATGCTGCTCCGCCGCTTTCTGTGGCAGCACCGCGGCTCTTTATCTGCTTTCTGATGGATGGATGAAATATGTTTAAGGCTAAAGATGAAGATAAGACGCTCTAATGTGTCCGACGTGTAAGATAGATCTATTTTTATTAACCATATTTGTGTATTTTTAAGTTTCTTCATTGACAAATTTCACATTTAGTTCGCAGATTGAATTGAAACGAGCTCCATGTTGTTTTCTGGCAGGTACACGAGTACTCAAGTACTGTCCATCAGTACAGTGTTGTGATGCGCTGAAAACAGCTTCATTTTACACCTTAAATGTTTCATTTTTAAATTTAAGTAATATAATAATTTGTAAATAACAGTTCACTTTAAGAGGTGAACCAGCAGACAGCAGCTCTCAGTGTTTTTCCATGAAGAGGTCTTCATCACTGAGAGCAGGAGGATTTAAAGGGGCCAGTTTATATTAAAGACATGATTCATTTTAAGGGACGTTTGTTGCCTTTAATGTCTCAAAGTGAGAATTGTAAAGATGTAAACAGTGTTGAGCGCAGTATTTGATTGTGGTTACCTTAAATATATTACTACTGTATATAGTACAGCTGTCTTTACACAATTAAGCGCTCTAGTACAAATTTAAAGGTGCTTTATTTATGTACAGAGCTGAAACAATCATTAAATAATTGATTTTGATGATTAATTCATCCTTAAAGTCATTTTTCAAACAAAACTGAATGAGATTTTCTGGTTTTCTGTGTTTTATCTCAGTAAACTTGATATATTTTATGCATGTACTTTCTACTTCTACTACATTTCAGAGGAAGGTAAATATTTCATATTCAAACAGTGGTGGAAAGTGACTGAGTTAATACAAGTACAATATTGTGGTACATTGCGCATTTCCATTTATGCTACTTCTACCTTACTGTACATAGGTTTAAGCTACAAAACCACTTGGTTTGGTTTTGAAAAAACAGGTGGTTTGGGTTAAAATAAGTACTTTTCATACCTACAAGACGTTATTGTAAACATTTCGACTTTCACAATGGACTAGAACCCTTGGCTTATTACAACTTAGATCATGATGACGTACAACTTGAGATATTTTGAGAAGTGCTGCATCTAACAATTTATTTTATTATTGATTAAAACTGAAAATTATTACTTTTTAGCTAACTCGCGTACATTTACATTGTTTTAATGTTGATTAATGGACACCGTCCCTTTTTAAATAATCAAAGAGAAAAAGAGGGAAAAAAAGAGAAATATCCATAACCTGAAGTGACGTCGTCAGTAAGGATTAGGGTTAATTCCCTTTACTGAGAGAAAAGAGTAAAAAGTTATATTTGAGAAGCTGGAACCAGAAATATTTTGGTATTTTTTCTTGAAAATTGATTTCAGTGATTGCTTTTTCTGCTGATTGACTAATTGATTAATTGACTGATTTGCTTCCGTTCTGTAATGAGCTACCAAATTCGGCACCTTCAGAAATCTAATAAATACATTTCGTAACTGGATTTTTTTGATGCCAACATAAATCCCACAAATAATCCATCAAACATTTTGAATGCAACCGTTCATATTTTTATCCCAAGACTATTAATATTTAACATACTGAATAGTTTTGCTGCTTCTAAATGTCTTTGCATCCCTGTACGGTGTCCTTGAGTGCCTTAAATAAAATGTATTATTAAAACTTATACACAAACTTAAAGTAGTATACTTTTAATTGTGCTTTATTTACCTTTTTTTTGGACTCACTCATATTGTTTCTGACCATGAAGTGGGACTCTTTGCAATTTAATTAATGTAATGATTAATCTATGATTATTATTATTTTAATATAATAATCAAAGTCTAGTATAAGTCTTTATGTATATGTGTGTGTGTCATGCGCTGGCCTGGTTTCACTGTTTCACCTACTAACCCCACTAACCATCAGTCAGGACGGATGAGGTTACTAAGGATGAAATCCAGGAGTGTAAACACAAAGGCAACGATAAACAGAGCTTTTTCCCCATGGGCTTCTTCACACCCTTAATGGACGACCTCGGGGAAGAGCATCATCCCTGTAGCCACTAAAGTGGATCCCTGCGAAGGATTAATGAAATCAACCGGCAGCTCTGGCTTTTAATTAGCTGCTGCTGAAGGGTTTGAGCTGTTAGGTGGTTATATTTATAAAACTTCTAGTACTAAGAGCAACTAAATCCCGTGCATTCCCTTCACTGATGTTATTAGGAGATTATTGTGAACTGCAACCGCAAGAAGCCTTCTTGAGAATTTACATTTCCCCAGATGGGACTCCTGAAGTGGAACTACGTCTTAATCATATGTTTCCCTCTGTTATTTGAACTCCGCGACAGCTAGCTGAGGCGTGCTGCTGTTCCTGTCAGCGACGGTGGCTTTCTTAATTAGAGATGATACCATCAGTCCTATCTATGTCTTCATTGGAGCCAAAGGAAAAGCATCCTCACCAGGGTTCTTTTAGCTGTTACAGAACATCACTTTAATACCAAAACACTAACCAACGTACCGCCCAATAAACTAACCGAAACATATAGCAACTGACAGAAGGATCACACAACCAACCTACCAATCAAATATCTTCATACACATTTTGAAATGTGCCAAAAGTCCTAAGTAATGTGCCAGAAGTTGGGTGATCATTTCTCTGGAAGCCCCTCTGGTATCAGAAATCTCACAAAAGAAAGAAATCTACCAACCAACCTTGCATGCTGACATGTTGGTGCTATTTCTTGACAGTGCTGTGTGCAGCTTCTTGTCGTCAGGTTTGGTTTTGCCAGGTTTGAGATCATCACGCCGGTAGAGAGACTAAAACCAAAACCAGTGCTCACCAACTGTACTTGGCAAACCCCTTCGTAGCCAGAGACACTGCACAGAAGCACTGGGTGGACAGATACACTGCTGTTCGTCAGGATATAGGTCTACAACATACAGTAATTACAGCTGAGGGTCACAAAAAGTCTTTGGTCAGCTGTGAAAGTCAGTCAGTGATCGTACTAATGACAAATGTTTCTCTCTCCACAGCTCCTCTCTGGTGCAGCAGTCTAGCTATGGTGTATGCCCAGTCATCAAACACAGTTGGTGTCAATCCCTCCTTTTATTCTCCATCTTTCACGTATCAGATGTCATTTAACTACTCTGAGAGGGAAAACTCGACTGTCCTGGCAACCTTACCCACAACTCCCCTTTGCAGCCTCGAGGGCTCATCTTCCAGCCAGCCGAACAGGACCTCTGCCTCGTACGAGCTGACTTCAGGCGAGGTCGCCGTCCTGGGCTTGGTGTTCGGGGTGCTCTGGCTGGTCTCCATCCTGGGAAATGCCCTCGTCTGCCTGGTCATCCATCGGAGCAGACGGACTCAGTCCACCACCAACTACTTTGTGGTGTCAATGGCGTGTGCAGACCTGCTCATGAGCCTGGGTTGCGCCCCCTTCATCCTCCTGCAGGTCGCCTCAGGACGATGGCCGCTGAGCGCCCCTGCCTGCAAGGCTGTGCGCTACCTGCAGCACCTCTGTCCGGGTGTGCAGGTCTATGTCCTGCTTTCTATCTCTGTAGACCGCTTCTATACAATCGTCTACCCCCTCAGCTTCAAGGTGTCGAGAGAGAAGGCGAAGAAGATGATCCTGGCCTCGTGGCTGTTTGATGCAGCCTTCGTGACGCCCTGCCTCTTCTTCTATGGATCCGCATCTACAGACATCAGCCATTGTGACTTTTTCCTTCCGGACAGCTGGGGCAGTATAGCCTACGCCGCGGTTCACCTCCTGTTTGGTTTTGTGGTCCCAGTGGCGCTGATCGTGTCATTCTACCAGCGGGTGGTCCGCTACATCTGGAGGATCAGTGCTGATGGACACACGGTGCGCCGGACAATGAATATCGTCCCACGGACTAAGGTCAAGACCATCAAGATGTTCCTCATGCTCAATTCAGTTTTCTTCCTCACCTGGACGCCCTTCTACATCTCCCAGCTGTGGCACCCGAGGGAGTCTGATGGACCCGGTAGGCAGGGGCTGCTGTTCTTCACAGCCATCGCCTGGGTCTCCTTCAGCTCCGCTGCGTCCAAGCCAACCCTGTACTCGGTCTTCAATGCAAACTTCAGAAGGGGCATGAGGGAGACCTTCTGCATGTCATCCATGAAATGCTACCGCAGTAACGCGTACACCATCACGGCAAGTTCCCGGATGGCCAAAAAGAACTATATTGGCGTGGTGGACATCCCAGTGCAAGCAAAGACGGCCCCCGATACATTTGACCGAGATGTAAAGGAAAAGAAAGTAGCCTGGCCCACTAATGCCAACCCTCCGAATACTTTTGTCTAAGTGAGTTTGGACGGTTTTGAAACTGTGGAGATACAAAAATCTAAAACTTTTCTCTTCAACAGCACATCAGTGTTGGCATGTGGGCTAGCTGGAGACTAACATGATAGCTTGTATTCAACTAAGACAAAATCTCCCAGAAACAGAATGCGTTCAGTTTGTATAAAGGGCTCTTTTCTGACGTAACACACCTTTTGGCAGCCGTTTGAGGTTCTCTACAGCTGTGAACAGCTAGCCGTTTTTATACTTTTAATCATAATTTATTTCTGTGCTGTGTTTTGATGGACCGTTTTGCCACTGATGCATCGGAGTTTGTGTTTTTTTTCAGCTTGTTAGCTAGCTAACCATAGTCTGAGGCCATCTATCAGTGACCTGTCAATGCATCTGATTTGCTGCAGTAATGTGTGTGGTAGAAGCTAACGTTAGTAGTGGCTACTAGCCGTATGTTAACGTTAGCATCGTCTGCTTTGCAGTGTATTCTGGCTGACTCATCTCAAAGACTCACGGTGTTTGTGTTTAATAAAGAGTAACGGAGATGGTAAGAGTTGAAAAGTGGGAGGAGGTTCAGGAGTATTCAGGGTCATTTTTGGCAAAGGCTTAGACGTGTGCTCAGCTAAGGGAGAGCGTAGCTGAAGATTATACCTTTGTAGAAACCTGATAAAACATTCAACTGTTTAAGTCTCTTTAAAATTCCAGATCAGTTTTAGATGAGTTTGGCAACTACACATTTGGCTAAAACACATATGCAAACTCTGGAATATATTCAAGGACAGGCCGTTTTTTCTTTTTTTTAAGGCCAATGCTTACTTTTCAAAATCATACTGAATAAAATATCTGCACATGGCAATTACAGTACGGTTAAAGGTAGGAAAACACTGTGGTTACAGGAAATAAACTATGGTTAAATTAAGGGCTAGGGTTAAGGGAAAGATTGGGGTTTGTAAAAAAGCCTACATGAATTAAAGGTCTGTGTTATAGGTCACCAAACCAGTTCCATGTGGTGTTTTATCACAATCAGCTTCAAGCTCTTCAAAATACTACTTATTTATTCATCACAGTTTTGTCACATTGCACATGTAAGTAAGTAGTGTTGTCGTACTCGAGAACGGTCTTAAGACCACTTTTTGATGGTCTTGTTCTCGTCTCAGACTCGACCGCATTTATTCTTGGTCTCGGACATTGAGGACTTGGGATTTTATTTCAAGACCAGTCAAGACCATAACTTTGGGAATATCAATTAATTGCTTTTGCATTGTTTGATTCATTTGAAACGTATTGCTCCAAATGCAACCAACAACCCTAATTAAAAATGTGTTGTTACTGTTAACGACCGTCCCCGCGATGGTCAGCATGGAAAAGGAGTATTGAATAAAGATGTTTACGTTGGTTTCACCTCTTAGTGTTTGTATATGGGTGTTTTAATGGGAATGTGGATCTTTCAGATCAATTTGAGTACCTCTGATCTCCCTCCACATTTTATTGTGCGTCATGTAATGTGGGGAACTGGTCTTGGTCTCTCCCTCCCTCGGTCTTGGTCCTGACTCGGTCTCAGCCCCTAAAAGTTTTGGTCTTGTCTCGGTCTTGATAAACTCCGGTCTTGGTCTTTTTACTTGGGCTCGGTTTGGGCGGTCTTGACTACAACACTACATGTTAGCAGGCTTCCTGTGCTGATAACCTGCTTTACACTAGATGCTATAGATTTTTTAATTCCTGTCAGACTCAGCTGTACTTGATTTAACATACTAAATAATAACATGGCCGCACTACGTTAACTGTTCACAGTATGCAAATACATCGGTTTGCCAGCAAACAAGTTGAACCAGGCTCAACTTTTCTTCAACACCACGGCAGCAACGCAGCATTGTTTTGTCAGCTGAACTCTAATCAGCTGAGGCTGAACTGTAGTTTTGGATTATTGCTAATATAATAACATTTTATCATTAGCATGTCAGTATGCTAACACGATAACATGAGACAACTAAGGCGACAATACGTCCCTCTTTTTCCCGGACAGGTCTTCTTTTTGGGACCTAAAAAATGCGTCCAGCCAGGTTTTCTAAATCGCCCAAAATGTCTGGGATTCAGCTTTTGCTTTCTAGAGTCGGAATTCATGTGTGCGTTTTTGCATTGCTTTGACCTTCCTCTTTAGGTCACGTCTTCTCGCACGCCACCATTGGCCGGTGGTGAAAACAGGACCTGCAACGAGGAGCGAGCACGTTAGCGTGCATTAAGCCCAGATTAAGTCCAGCTTAGAATGACGATAGCTCAGATCTGTAGAGCCGAGTCTGACAGGTCTGAGATGTTTTTAAATGGCCGCCTTCTCAAAGATTAGTCATGTTACTTTCTTTTAAACGTAATAGGGATGTATGTCAGACTCCACAGCGCTACAGTCTGATCTACCTGTCCAAAGATGATTCTCACCTGTCTTCTCTGCTTTACCTGCTTGTAAAAAAACATTGTGTCTTTGAAACTTTCTGTAAACTGTCAACTATACTGTGATTTGAAGGTCCATGCTTTATCCTTAAAATGAATTCAGTTCAAACATGAGATGCATTTACATTTCCAGTACACGTGGTTCCAATGCTTTTGAAGTTTTGTCAAGATAATGTGCTATGTACAAATAAATTATTTTATTATTTTAAATAAACTTATCCACGTTATTAATACGTGCCATTTCTTTCTTCTTTATTTGATGAATCTGGACTGTATTTCCAATTCAGTGTGCATAAAGTGGGGCTTATTATTAATACTTTGTTTCTGTCAGTTTATTTTAAAAATCTTGAGGATCCTTTTGTGTCCTTTTAAAAATTAAATACATGACTACGCTAATTTAAAAATTAAAATGGCTTTTGAACAGCAGAGGGAAGAAAGGTAACTGACAAGAACACAACTCTTATGTTTGATTAGCTCATCAATGCAGCTTTATCGTCCCTCTGGAGTCTCGCCATTTTCATACTTTTTCAAGGTGCAGCTGGTTCCTAAATTATCTGAACATAAACCTGGAGCTATTTCCAAAACATTTCGAGGCTAAATGTAGCTGTTAACTACCCGAGTCAGGAGAAGAAGTCCTAACTTATGGACACACACCTTCCTGACTTTAGGGCAGGTTTTGGTCCGAGTGGGATTCACAAAGTATTTTAACAGGTTGGTCAGTCCTTGAGAAGTTGGAGGTCCAGAGGATCCTGAGTCAGGGGCTGTATTACAGAAACTTCCTGTCTTAAGTTAAGATCAATAAGTTCTCTCTCGTCACATACGGACACTTTGTCAAGACCCCTCGGTGTTGCTTTTTAACGCCCTTAGTACCCTTCAGCAGAGGTGCGACCAAGTCATTATTTTACAAGACACAAGTCTCAAGTCTACACCTGTCGAGACCGACAAGTTCCAAGTTTCGAGTCCTAAACAAGTCAATGTGCTCGTCACCAAATACCATTTCATATTTTTAGAGTTAAAAATGAAAAAAATCTTCAAATCACGATAATTTTTTTTTGTTCAATATTGAGATCACTATTATGTAACACGAATAAACATAATTTACTTATTTATTGAACTTTTAAAAACTGAATGCTTTGTTTTTAAAACTTATTATGTATGCATTACACCAAAATCTCAAATAGCCCATGAAATAAGAAATAGTAATCCAACATTATTAACTTTAAACAGCATGTTAAGAGCGTAAGAGGATGACAGCAGCGCAGTGCTTCCCCAGGTGGACTGCTTTGTGGTGTCTAGCAAGTTATAGCAGATAACCACCGGTCATCTTGGCACGAGTTGAACTAAACATCACAGCCTGGCTGAGAGAGAGTTTGTGTTCTTTATTGGAAGTATGAGAACCACAGCTGTAAAGTTAAGGGATGCTCTGGATTTATTAGACAAGAATAAATATGCAACGTTTGGTTAGATTAAAAGAGCAGCCGTGGGGATTAAAGAAGTTAGCAACCTGGTGGAAAAGTGATAAGACAGCTTAACAGTTATTCTAAAGTTCGGATAGTTTATTTAAGATTTGGGGATAAGTTAAGATAGGACCGTTGTTTTTGTTACTGTTCATCTGTAATGGCTTTCTTCAGGTCCCAACCCTAACTGACCATGATTACCAAACAGGTTTGGAGGTTTCTGAAGTGCAGCCTTGAACCTCTGATACAGCGCCCTCTGCTGGCAGTTACTGGATTTCAGCCTCAGAACCAGAAACACTTTGCTCCTCCCCGAGGGGAAAATGTTGTGTTATAATTAAAATGGTAAGAAAATAGAAATAATAATGAAATGTTGTAAGTAGATAAAATCTCCATATACAAATAGATGTGTGGTTAACACCCCTAACATGCACTTCATGTGGTACTGATGGCTCTTTTCGATTCACTCTTACTTCTTCCTCTAAGTTATTTATCCCATTGATGCTGTAAGCGCCAAGTCGCTTTGGATAAAAGCGACGAAAATGACAAAACGGAAATAGATATACAGTATCTCACAAAAGTGAGTACACACCCCTCACATTTTTGTAAATATGTGATTCTATCTTCTAAATAACACATCACACAGCCATTTTTAGTGTTTGTATTTAGTACTTCTACAAGACAAGCAGCAGACGGGACTCGAGCATCAGTCAAATACTCTTTTACTATCTTTGACATCTAAAAGAGTTCAGACACAGTTATTGTTGCAAAGCATCAAACTAGTATCAAAGCAGTAAGACACGAGGCATTACATTTACATTACCTCACCGGCAAAAAACAAAATCCTGAAACACATTCAGAAATTAACGCCTGTGAGGATTTGCATGCTGCAACTACTGGATTCAAGTGAGAAACAACAAACAGAAATGTGGAAACTAAATGATGAGAGAAGCTTCTGGGCAGTGAACCCACTCATTGTTCTGTGTACTTCATCGTCACCACATCATTTTACTCTGAAAAACCTAAGTAATAAGTCCAACCTGTTGTGCTGAAACAGACGGACTCGAACAAAAACACAAAACACTCGCACACGCTTCCTCTGAGCAGATATACAAAATACAAAAATATATCTCCAGATTTATCCAACAGACTTATCAACATCGCTGTACATTCCGACTCCCTGTCCTCCTGATCTTTAAAATAACGCTACAGCAGGAAGGCCATCTTTAGTCACGTTTAAAAAAATATAGCCTACTGTAGAACCACGACGAGATTTAAATTCCTAACAATGTAGCGGGGCAGCAACAAGAGCAAAGTACATCCACAAACATGAAGAGCAACATACCTTTAAGTTTAAAACACGGGTCCATTCACAAAATGTTTTTCTTTCTCCACCTTCATCACAGCGATCGGTCAGTCACTCAGAAACACTACGTTTAGAAATCTGTAAAGCTTCACCGATTAGTTGATTATTCGTCAATCGATAAAAATAAAAAAAAGACTCAAAACGATTAAAGAAAATAAGCAAAAACTCTTAATTCCAGCTTTTTAAATGTGAATATTTTCTGGTTTCTTTGCTCCTCTGTGACAGTAAACTGAATATATTTGGGTCGTGACGTCCTCTTGGGCTTTGGGGAAACAGTGACCGACATTTTCACCATTTTCTGAGTTCATGGATCAAACAACTATCTAACTAATCGTTAGTTGAAGTTAAAGTCTGCTTAGAAAACTTTTACAAATCCAAAATTTCTCTAAATGATTCATAAATTAGGAACTTTTCACAATAGGACTAAACGATTTTGAAAAAAAACATCTTACTGTGATTATTTTCATTTTCACTGAAAAACATATTTAAAATGAATTCTGGTGTGATTTTTTTTTTTTTCTCCAGGATCTGTACCAAACAAAGACGTTTTCTTAAGTCTGTAGATTTTCATGTGCAGTCCCGGACGTCTCTGCAGCAAAATGTTTAATTTAAAACGGTATTCTCACACACAAATCATCTTTAACAAATATTGCACCTCCTGCGATTTGAAAATTTCAGGTCATCTAGTGAGTTTGAAAAGATTTCGATTAATCGTTCAGCCCTAATACTCACTAGCTTTACATGGAAAATTTTAAGAAAAAAAAGGAAACTCCATATGAAATGAGAGATTAAAGAACGGATGTCTCAAGTATCCTGTGTTTAGAAATGAGTTTTAAAGAGCAGAATTTTCTCTTTAGGATCACTAGAATGGAAAAAAGATGTTAGAGATTTGAGTTTAGTTTTTTACTGAAACACGTGAGAAGCATTTTTTTAACCCATGCATGCAATGCCCCGCTGGACAGGAAGAACAGAAGAAGAACTGCGGACTTCTGTGGACGTTTGTGCAAAGCTGAACATGTTTGATGCAGCAGCAAGTCTTGAGAAACATGCACGAAAGGTCGCACTGCAGGTAATATTTTGGAATTGATACTGTTAAGCTCTGATTAAAAAATAATTCAGTTCAACCACAGCATGAATGGGTAAAAATCTCAAAAATCTTATCTCATCTTATTAAAACGTCTTCCTTAAAACGGTTCCTCTCTCAACACACACTCCTACGATCTCCATCCACGAAGAACAGCAATGGAGAAGAACCACAGCAGAGATTTCTCTGCACGGACCGACAGCGAGGTGGAACGGTTACTGAAAGGAACACGGGAGGACAGAGAGACGGCGGCGGCGCAAAGTAAATACTGCGACATGCACAGTACAGGTGTATAAGTGTTATTTACACAGTACAAAATATTTTAATATAAATACCAAAACTAAATATTTGCATGACTGATAAGAGCCAATCAGGAAGCCAAAAGGTGAGCGTTTTCAAACTTCTTCGTTTTCAGATTTGCCATTTCAGTCCAGACGGCAGGCGTAAACATAGCCGAAAGTCTGCGTTTTAAAACTGAAGCGTAGGAGTGTGGGTGTAGCCTCAGGCTGAAACTTCCTTCAGAGGCATTTTGGATTTGTAAAAGCTCTAGAAAGCAGACGGTGAGAAACCGTCTCCGACCCTTGATGAAGAACAGATGGGTTAAAAAGGCTTGTTGAATAAAAAGTGTTGAACTGGAGGAGAAATGAGTGACATGTTTAAATTCTGAAGCTTAAACTGGTCTGAAAACATCAAAATCAAAGTTTCAGGAATTACCTACATAAATGCATCTCACTGTTAAAGATATTAGAGTAACTAATGTAGAAAATAAGCCTGTAAGTACATGAATGTTCCCGCGAGTCACTTCAGCTCTTAATGAATGCTTAATTATATTGATTGTAGACGATCGACAGCAGCAGTTTCCCTCCATCAGTCTCTGTCGCAGGGCCGGATTACACCTGGCCGTTGCTGCTGATGCCGTTCTTGCTGTTCTTGGACGACTTGGTGCTGCTGCCGCCTTGAGGCATTTTCTGGTCGTCTCCGGTCAGCAGAGCTTTAATCTCGGAGGGGATCTTCCCCTGATCCATGGCCGAACACCACTGCTTGTACTGGAGGAGAGAAACACAACAACAACAGAGATGAGGCGTGACAAAGAAATACACAACAATCAGGCTTTAAACTTCCAGCTAAAACAGAGTATAACTATGACAAGTACGTAGTATAGTACATATTGTAGACAGTATGAACTGGGACACGTGTCATTACTTGCTGCATCATATTGCAATAATTGCTTGACTGACCGACAGCAAACACCCCCAGGCTTCATCCACACTGCTATGTTTGTTTTAAACCTCAGACCTTCTGAGTCGAGACTAAAACGGTGGATCGCAACAGCTAAAACAGAGAGGTCTGACCCCGTGTTGGTTTTAAACTGCAGGGTAGCGTTTTAGTGCGGACAGGTGAAAACAGGGGACTTTAAAAACGATGACGCCCACGAATCTTCTGCAACTGCGGAGTAGACAATCTGCTTCCTGTTTACACCGGGACGTGCATGCCCACTAGTGTACGTGAAGTGAGTCGTTTTAATATACAGCCCCCTCCACGTGTATCGGAACAGGAAGGCAAGTTCTTTTGTTTTTGTTGTTCACTGAAGACATTTGGGTTTAAGATCAAAAGATGAGACAAGAGTTCAGAATTTCAGCTTTTATTTCCTGGTGTTCACATCTAGATGTGTTCAACAACTCAGGACAAAGGAACGTCCTGAAAAAGAAAGAAACTACTGGTGCACTGAGCAACAGACGTCCAACAGGTCGGCCGAGGAAAACAACAGTAGCTGATGACAGAAATATGGTGAGAGCTGTGAAGAAAACATCAGCAACGACCTCCACAGTGCAGGGTGAAGGTATCACAATCCACTGCTGGAAGAAGACTCAGAGAGCAGAAATATAGAGGCCACACCACAAGATGCAAACCACTCATCAGCAGCAAGAATCAGAAGGACAGAGTGAAATTTGCAAAGAAGTACAAAAGTTGTGGAACACAATCTGATGGACTGATGAGACCAAGATTAATCTAGCAACGTGCTGGAAAGGCCAAAGTGTGGAGAAAGAAAGGAAGTGCTTATGATCCGAAGCTCATCTGTGAAGCATGCTGGAGGTGATGTCATGGCTGCTTCTGGATCAGGCTCATTAATATTTATTGATGATGGAACTGATGATGGTCGCAGCAGAATGAATTCAGAAGAGGACAGAAACATTTTGTCTGCCAGTTTACAGAGAAATGCATTGAAACTAATGGGGAGGAAGTTTATCCTGCAGCAGGACAATGAGCCAAAGCACACTGCCAACAAAACAAAGGACTTCATCAGGAGGAAAAAGGTTTTAGACTGACCAAGTCAATCAGCTGACCTGAACCCAACAGAGCTGCATTTCACCTCCTTAAGAGGAGACTGAAGGGAGAAACACCCCGAAACAAACAAGAAGTGAAAGAAGCTGCAGTAAAAGCCTGAAATAGCATCACACATGAAGAATGCAACAGTTTGGTGATGTCGATGGGTCGCAGGCTTGAGGCAGTTATTGCAAAAGAAGGTTCTGCCACCAAATATTAAATGTTATTTACTTTAAGATTATTTGTTCCACCTAAGAATGCTGTGGTCTGATACAAACGGTGGTTTGTCCTGAGTTGTTTAACACATCTACAAGTGAAAACCAGGAAATGAGAGCTGAAATTCTTAACTCTTGTCTCATCTTTTGATCTTAAACCCAAATGTCTTCAGTGAACAACAAAAACAAGAGTTTCCCTCACCGTTCCAATACTTGTGGAGGGGTCTGTGGATGGAGATCAATTCTCATACGCAGCTAAAGTGCTGGTGTGGGCGGAGATTTATTTAGTTTTAAAACTAAAACATAGTAGTGTGGATGTAGCCTCAGGAAACGTTTGGGAAACACACATCAGCCCTTCTGACCCAGATCAGACGATCAGCACGTTAACATGTAGCGCAACAATGACCAGAGCTCTAAATAATGGATCATTTATTCACCCGTGAGAATTTAATCAACAAAACTACATTAATTGAGGGCGTGCGTGGCCGCCCTGCCGTTCACCGCGTGCTTCACCAGAAACCAGCGCTCAGTGTCTCTAACCTGCTTCTTACCTGAGAGGCACGCCGGAGCTCTGAACTCCCCGGGAACTGCAGTAAATGTGTCGTTCGCAGCTCTTTAAACTCCACAGATCAGGAAAATGATGGAGGAAAAAAAAACGATCTCAAAAGTAACGAGTGACAGCGGGGAAGGTCGAACTTCTTCTCACTCGTGCAGTCGGACATGTTGTGTCAGATTACTGGGGAATAAGTGACTCCAGAAAGAGTTTTAGCTGCCGCCTCTGACATATAAAATGTTTCCGTCCTTGGCCTGAAACAGAGCTCGTTACGGCTGTGGACCTTTTGAAGCACTAATTTATTAATTGAACACGACCTCAAGTGTAAAGTATGAACACTGCCGTTGTTGCTGCCGTCCTCCACTGTAGACCGGTATTTCAATTTTGCGGTTATCGCGACAGCCCTACCTGTGTATTTTATTACACCTATATACTCTAGACTCATGGCTTGAGTTACAGGAAGTTATTCAACTTGTTGAGTCAGTTCCTTTTTGTGTCTTTGGTCATTTGTGTATTTTTCGTGTGTAAAATGTCAAGAATAACTAACCTAGTTCTTTAACAATTTAACATCAGCAGTCCTTTGAACTTACCAGACCAGAGTCTAAATACCAGGGTGGTAGAACTTTCCCAAAGTGCCTTGCGGTGCATTTCTGATTGATTGAGTCGAGCATTTCAGGCGTTTTGCTGCTACTGTTTGTCTCTTTTCCAACGTTGACTCAATGACATTCGCAAACCAATAAATCACGATCAGCACCCAGACAGCACACAAGTCTCTCCGATGTCGTACGTCGGCATCATATTTATAGCTGGGAAACATCAGCTGGTGTGCAGCGATTCCTGCTGTGTGTTTACAGCTAACAGCTGATGGAGTTACGCTAAACACTGGCTCCAGAGTTATTGTTTAAAGTCTTCATCAGTCAGGAGGTTTCTAAAACCTTTTAGTTCCTGAATAGTAGATCCTGGGTCTAAAAAAAAAAACTACATCAGAATTGTTCCTTCTTCACATCCTGTTTGTTCGTTTCTGTCAAAATCTTGTTTACTGTCCTCACGTGTGACTCTAGCGTCAAGCGTTTGTAAATCAAAGTATTTTTTTAAAAATCTGGATATTAGTGCTACTAATGACTACATGACCAAAGTGTTTCGTTACCATCTCCAGCTCCTCCCGCAGAGCGCAGATGGCTCTCTCCTTACTGGAAACCAGTTCCTCCAGGTACTGGTACCTCAGCTTCTTCCTCGCTCTGCACTCTCTGGCGCTCTGACGGCTTCGTTCCAGTTTGGCCTTCAGGTCGATCTTTGCAGGTTTGCGGCCACGTTTGCCCGGTTTCTTAACTTTACCAGCCACCATCTGACAACACGGACAACAGAGTTATTTCTCAACCTAGAATGACAGCATGGTTATTTTCACATAGTTTTTATTGGGCTGAATTTTTCAACAATAATCCGTCTGCTGCATCAATCTTTATGAAAAAACAGAGGGCAGGAATAAACATTTCCTCCAACTGCCTCACCTCCTGCATCTCTACCTGTTCTACCATCCAGACATCACAGATCACCTCATGAACATAACAGATACATGTGTATTACAGCTAATCAGGAACACACACATAAAAACTAAAACGATCAAGTTGTATTATCCAGAGTTGGGACCAAGTCATTGTCTTTTTGGATTTTGTCATGTTAAATCTAAAGTCATCATATTTCTGACTCGAGTCCGAGTCGTGTGAAGTGTGAAGTCCACACCTCAGCTTAAAACTGAGAGAAAAGCACCTCCTCCTAGCTGAGACCAGTTCAGGGTCACATGTACTAAATAAGTTACTGTCATCATGAGTGTGTAAAGTGTGAATTTAGTGCTCATTAGTGGTATTTTTAACATTATAATGACTGAATTATTATGAATGATGACAACTGAAAAGATCAGGTTGTATCACCACTTTCAGAACCACAACTATAATTCCATTTATAAAAAGGTGCACAGTAGTGTCAAGCAGCTTTCCCAAATTTAGTAATTGGGTTTAGCTTGAGTTAAACAGGTCTGAGATCTGCTGTCCACCATTTCAGAATATCAGAAGGAGCTTTATTGCCAAGTAGTGTTCACCACATACCAGGAATTTGGTGATAAGGTGCTACACGCAGACAAACATATAACTGATATAAATAAATGTAGAAATATCTAAATATGGAATAAACAATGCAAGTTATATAAGAATATTAAAGAGAATAGAGAAAAATAAAACAACTATTTGCAGAACAAATTCATTATTCTGGGTTTGTGTTGTGCAGATGGATTGCAACGAAATATATAAAGTGACAATATAAAAATATAGAACAAGGATTTGTGCGCAATATGCCGGTTTGTGCATGATATGAAATGAAATAGTGTATACTGTGTGCAGTGACACACGTATTATTTGCAAGGGGGGAGTGTCAGTGGGGGACCTGGGCCTTGTTGATGAGGATAGCGGCCTCCTGCCAGAGAGGAGAGTCTGAAACAGTTTGTTTTTATCTCATCTTTATTCTCTTTATTTTATCTTTTGTTGTGTGGTCATTGTGTTGGACGTAGTTGTTGTTTTTGTTAAAAAATAATGATTATACAAAAATGGGTTTGTTATTTAGCCTGCCCTCATTGATAATGCAAACTACATCCAACAAAAACTCAGTGACCTTCACAAAGGGAGGATTTATTACAGGACTATTGTATTAGACCGCATTTGTTTCAGCTGACTTGGGGCTACCTGACAAAATGTCAGCTGGCTAACCTTCATACCAGACTCACTCACAGTAAAGAGGACATTAAGCAGCTGGGTCCAATAACACCACGAGTCACTGGTTAATACAAAACTAGAACTTATATCAGACATTAGAGTTCTTCTCTAAAAATAAGAAGTACCACAAAGTTTTAAGTAAATTTAACATCACATGACATTTTATCAGAATAAAAAAAGGACATGAGCAAACCACCCTAGATTATCTGGTTAAGTTATTGATCCATTTATACAGAAATCCAGTGACAGAAATCCAACGTTAGGATTTCTACGTGTTTGCTTACTGTACTGCTAGCCGTGTTAGCTAGCCACACTGTTACGTACATATATTCTACCACAGCTAGCTTCACACAAGCTAGTCAGTTTACATTTAGACAGTTAAATTTACAGCCAGTAGCCTCATTTGGACTGTAACCTAGTGTTGGTTAAATTATAAACTGTAAATTAAGAGTTAGCATGTCGCTAATATAATAAAAACAAAGCAGCTGTGTGTTAGCTTCTGTTAGCTTCTCACCTTGTTTTCATCCATTGTGGTGAACGCTAGCGTGCTAGCAGCTAACTCGCGTTAGCCGCAGTCAGCTAATGGCGCAGTTATTTAAAACCGCGAGATAATAAATGAGATAAACTTCAGTCAGTCCGCGTTAACGGAACAAAAGCGAACCGAGACAATTAGCGTGATGTTTGTTTTACTGTGTTTACATCGTGTTTCCTGTTGACGTGACGCGCTTACGTCAGCTTCCTTCTTCTTTTTATTTTATGGCGGGTTGAACTTTAAAGGTGCACACCGCCCCCTACTGCACCGGAGGATGTAGCATGAATTGTAGCCTGTTTGAGAGGACTTTTTTACATCATCATCATCATCATAATAAATAAAACAAATAAAAATAAAAACCTAAATCCTATAAAATGTCACTATATTCTTCAGATTGTTTCTGCTTGTCTGTTACCCCATCTCCTGTTGTTACGTTTATGTTTATTCGTTTAGCTGACTGACAAAGCGATATATGTAAGAGGTTGCACGCCTCTGGAGCAACAAGGGGTTAAGTGTTTTAAAAAGGCACGTGTCTTTTCCACTGCACCATCACCACCTCCCTAATTCCCAATAAACCTCCACTTCCTTCCTGCCTGACTCATCTTCTGACTTATCCTCTTGTCCTCTCGTTCACCTGATTGACTTTCACCTTATTAAAACAATGTTTTATTTATGATCAAACCTTAGTGTGGTTAAAACGCTCTCCACTCTTCTATTCATTCTAGTCAAACCCTGTGCATTAAAGGTTCAGTGTGTAAGTTTTGGTGGTATCTAGGGGTGAGAAGTGGACCTCTGAAAGGAGCACCTGTTTTTAAATCTCTAAGATGTAAAACTAGTTGTAAGGGAGGAAATAAAATTGGAAATGTTGTTTAATTTCTTATTTATTTTATCTAAATAATCACATTATCCTCCTGTTTTCTTTTTTTTAAGAGCGAAAATCCAAACAGGCCCCTTCTGATATTTTGCATATCACTGCACAAACTGTGCCATATTCCACATTTCCTTTATTTTTCTTTCATTTTTATATTTTGTCAATTTTTACATTTAAATATAAATCCTCTCCCCCTGTATCAACAAATCTGTAGTAATGCACATGTAAATAACAGCCACATTGTTTTTTCTTACAGTTCTTTTATAACTCTGTTTATTCCATATATATATACTTTTACATTTATTTATGTCAACTCTATGTTTATGTCTATGTTTTCCTCTATGATTCCTGGTACGTGTGAAATACTACTTTGCAATAAAGCTCTTTCTGATAATGATTCAGTTTTTATCTAATAATACTTTTCTTAATGTCCAGTTGGAGCTCAGTCTGTTGTTTTTTTTTAATTCAAAATGTTATTTTTTGCTGTTACATTTTTGACAACTTTAATGTTGTAGATGATTACACCTTATAAATGGTTATAATGTGCGGCTGTATAATAGAGGGTTGTTTGAAATGATACCTCAGTAATATAAAAAAAGAGTTTGACTACACAAAGGTTAAAACTTGGGAGTTTGTTTTTGCCAATGTGGAACCATTGTCCACTGTCAAAGAAGGTAAAATGTTAGAAAAGCCTAATATTATCTTTATAATAAAAGTTATTGTTAGTGTATTTCTCACATGTTAAAACAAAGCAACCCGTGTTTTACAAAATTTGTCTCCAACTTTTTCTGTCTGGTACATTCTGTGAAAAAGTCCATTTATGAAAAGTTGTCTCTGCTTCCTGTAACTGAGATTTTTGTCATTGTTCAGTGACTCAGCTTAAGTTTGGTCAGATGAACAGAAACCTCAGTTCACCTGACAGAAAGATTAGAACTTTCTCTTCCCTTTACCTCCCTGTTCCACTTCTGCCAAATCTTTTCACTTCTCACTCTGATATTGTCGATATGGAAGCTCATTTCTGCCAACAAAAAAATTAATGAAATGTTAAGAATGAACAAATGAAGTGGACAAAGCCGCTGTGACGTCACCCGTTGGTTTGTGGACTACCGTTCTGGCATTTTGGCCGTCTCCATCTTGGCTCTGCTTTGTTATTATTATTATTATTATAACAAAAGTACTTCCTCCTTTGCTACCATCTTACGGCCACTAGAGGTTTCAGCCACAATAAGTGTAAATGTGGGTCATAATGGGTGACTTAATGCGGCGATTAGCAACGCTGGCTTAACATGATGAATGCTGGACTTAAAATAAGGCTTGTTAGTTAGAAATTATGTCCGACTTCACAAGTTTTCTGAGTCTGAATCTTTTGCCTGATCATCACCATCACATCTGCCTTTGCTAATAAGATATACTTTATTAATATTTATCAATGCTGCCAGATTGGACGTTGTTCAAAGCTCACACACTCCACGGGAAGTAGAGTGTTTCCGGCTTGGCGGCAGTGTTTTTAAACGCCACCCCTGCAGTCGCCTGCAGCTTGTGTTTGACTTTTGATGAAGTCATTGAAAGTCAGACGCAGTCATCTCAAACGCACATGGTAACGTGCTTCAACAAACGACCCATATGGTTGTTTTTCTGGTGAGAACAGACTGAAAAAACTTCTGCTCCTTTTAAAAAAAACTATGGCTGTTTTATGTGAGTGACCCTTCAGAAGCTCATTCCTGACACAAACACTCAGTTTAACAATCCAGCCAAGCCATTTAAAACGCACTTTTCCTGGACAGCGTGATTACACTAACATTGGGTTCAGTATCTTGGTGTCTTCCAGCTCTGCAGCAGCTCAGAGCTTTGATCGTTTCATTCACATTCATCAGGTCAGAGTTATGCATGCATGCTAATTGCCCCAGTATGAAAAACCTTTCAGCTGTCTTCTGCTTTCATCACATCCATTGTCCTCAGTCTGCTCAAACTGAAATTAACTGAAATGCCGCACCTCAGAAGCTGCATGAGAATTAGCTGATTAATAAACTCACCAAATAAAGATGCAGTCAGTCTTTTTCAATAGCAGGGAGCTGCTGGTTTAAGCTGTGATTACAAATCACTGAGCAAGCCAAGATTTTCTGCAACAAAACAGTTACGGTTCTTTACTAGGCTGCTCCCTATGTGATTATCACATACTCAGATCCTTTCCTTCAGAAAAGCTACTAATAACACTGTGAAAACAAAGTTAAAGTCCTGAATTCAAAACTTTACTGAAGTATGTTATAATAATGTGCAAGTATAATCAGAAAAGACCCTTAAAGTACTCGTGTTGCAGTGTTTCTCTTTTATATCTGATGTTTCTGGATTAATATTCCTGCTGCATTAAAGTGGAGCTCATTTTAACTCCTTTATATCCTGTTGAGTAGTTTAATCTGCAGCAATGCATCATGTGTTTGAGGACGCAGTATCTCTGAATAGTCAGAAAAACAGAATGTTGTCAGCTTTGTGACGATGCATTTTCCCGCTGATCCAAGGAGGTTTAAAGAGTTTATCCAGCTGGAGGACGAGGAATATGAAGGAACTCTTCATCCTGCAGTTTAACGCCAACTAACTAAAGCCGTCAGACACATGTAGTGGAGTAAAATGTACAATATTACTTCCGAGATGTAGTAAATGAGTAGAAGTAAAGCTTCATGAAATGAAAATACTCAAGTAGAAAAGTAAAGTACCTCGACTTTGTCCTTATATTCGTTTTATCACAAACATCTAGAGATACATGGACAGGAAATGGATGGATGAACTCTATTCTTTTTTACTATATATATATATATTTTTTTTAAATCTGTCTAAAGTAGTAACTAAAGCTGCCAAACACATGTAGTGCAGTAAAAAGTACAGTATTTGACTCTGAGACGTGGCATAGAAGTATAAAGTGTCATAAAATGGATAGTCAACTTTAGTACAAGTACCTCAAATGTATACTTAAGTACAGTACTTAGTTACAGTACCACTGCTTAACACTTTATCTGTTTCCCCCCCAGCAGAAATAAGCGTAGGGCAGAGTTATATTTTAATTCAATTCAATATGCTTTATGGGCATGAATGTTGCCAATTCAGAAAGTCACATATAAAGAATAAAACATGTATATAAAAAATAAACAACAAAATAATTTTTTTTAAAAGTGAAAAAATACCCACTACTAGCTAAAAACCAAATATATATCTTAAAATATGTCTTGCTTTTTGACCAGCAGTAGCATTTTTCCGAGGAACAATTATTAAAAATATCAAATTACAACAAGGGAAAAAAGGGGAAATTAGTTTTTTGTTGTTACTGCGTGTCTCTGTTGACAACTTGAAGTTATAATGACCAAAACATAAATAAACCACAGTGTCCGGTTAGTTATTTTCTGTCGGCTCAGTTGGAACGGTGCCTGCGCCTTTAAGACGCCTGTTGCGTTCATTTGACTGGCGCTTCGATGACGGCATCCTTTTATTTTTACCGAGGTGACCTCATCTCTTATGGCAGCAGGAGGACTTCACCGACCGAGAGTCACCGTCTTCTCTCTTTAGCTCCAACTGTTACACCGTGTCTACTTTCTCTTCTACAAACCCCTTCACCGTTACACCAAGTCAGACTCCATTTTTAAACCAGCCCCGGCGGTTGAAGACGCGTTTGGACTTCTTGACGTCGAGTTTCCAAACGGTGAGTTTAACCGAAATGTCTGGTCAAAGTGTAAAACAGCGGCGGCATCGGGTAAAGTTAATATTGTAACGGGGCCTAAAGTTAAAGTGTTGTCCGTGTGTCCGCTCAGGAGAAAGTTAACACCGTGTGCGAGTGTTTATCCGCAGTGAGATGTTGTTTTTATAGGAGTTGGCCTGGCGGTCAGTCGGTCGTTAACATCGAAACGGACCCAAGAAAATGTCAGAGAGCAGCTAGCTAACGTTAGAAGAAACGCTTACTGATGAAAATGTCGTCTAAAACTTCACCCTGTCTGTCTTTATACACATTAAATACTGTCTACACAAGTTTTTATTAACTGACATTAAAGTTAAACCCTAAATCTCCCATTAATGTCTTAACTTAGTTTATGCCAAACCTCCTTCAAATAAAGAGAGTTTTTAGTTACGTTACTTTTACTCTATTTCTTGATACCACTTTAAACAAAACAAACTTTATTTATTTTTTGTATAGAAATTTGTGTATAACTTTACCCATACTCATTTCATTCACCTATTTACTTATTAAATACTGTTTGTATAACTTTTTGTAAGCTGACAATGAAGTAAAAACCCGACACCTCCATTAATGTCTTAACTTAGTTTATGCCAAACCTCCTTAAAATAAAC